TTTGGCACACTGGGTGCATATCCTGTATGTATCCTGACGTCAGGATTCGTTGTATTCGTACACATTTTTTGCTGTGTTATTTAGCCTGGTTTCGAGTTGTGCCTCATTGTGTTATGTTAATTTTAAAATGCGTTGTGTTATGTTGTGATTTTGTTATGCTGGTCGGGGGGCAGGTTGTGCCCATTCAGGTGAGGTATCTGGTTGAGTCCGATTGTGTTGTGTGGTTGGTTGTGCCTGATTGTTAAATGAAGGGTTGTGGCGGGTTGTGCCCGATTATGTTAAGATAGGTGGTCGGTTGTGCCTAGTCGGGTGAGTTTATTTGGTTGTGTTCGGTTGTGTTGTGTGATCTCTCTGTTGGGGTTTTAGTTTGGTTGTTCCTGATTGTGTTTTGATAGTTTGGTTTGGTTGTGTGGTTGTGCCAAATTGTGTTGTGCTAATTTGACAGTGGGTTGTCTTCTTGGTAATTGTGAGTTCAGCTGTGTTCTAATTCTTCAGACATTGGTTGTGTTGCGTTGTTGGTGATCTTATGGGTTGTGCTTGGTTGTAATGGTTTGTTGTGATAGGTTGTATACTGAGTAGCAGGTTATGCCGAATTGGGTTTTGGTGTACCGTGGAGTTTAGATACAAGTTAGTGGTTTGGGGTATTATAGTGTAGGTATATTCATTAATTCCTAGTAGAGTCAATAGTTTAATGTATTTGTGTACATTATTAGTATATGCAATAGGTTTGGTACCTATTCATACATAGTGAGATCTCTGTTGTGAGAATTTTTTGCACCTGGTATGATGGGTGTTAGCTTTGCGTTGTTCATTGGGTTTGAAGAGGTAGTATCTTGTTGTTCTTGTCTCAGAACCTTTCATATCATAAACTTTACATTGGATGAAAAGACATATCAAACTTTACCAAGGAGAAAATAGTGGAGTTTTCATTCTAAAATCAGTTTTTGGCAAATATCTTGAGAACCATTGACTTTTTTAAATACATATGTATAATTGACCCCCTATAATGTGGCCATTCCGGACATTTTGAGTGGTCACACAACCTTCTATGTCCAACGGCTCAGGAGATACAAAAATGGGGGGGGAGTATTCGCAAAAAAAAGGGCGTGGCCATTTGACCTATTTCGCCTTCAGTGGCAAATATGTTACCAAGCCAAAATTGATCAATGACCTTCACATAGATGATTTCTGAAGAGAAAATCTCTGGACATAGAAGTGCATACTCAACCAGCATGTGCTACTAGAGTAAATCAAAGTTGGTCACAAAATGTGCTAACTTTCTCAAAGTTCGAGACTACAAATCAACATACTAGGAATGATTCAAAAGCGATGGACAAAATTCTATAGGCATACTTAACAAGTTCAATAAGTCTAATTTTTAACAGACATTAGACCATTCAATTATCTACCAAGTGTCAAATTCTTATTGAACAGCATTCAATATTGTTTCAACTATGCGTAACCATGGTAACTAGCTAGGGTAGGCATGGGAAGAATCCATTTTTAAATGATAATTAAATATTTTTGTCCTTTTCATTTCATTTTAACACTGATGACTCAAACCACATGTTGGATCTATAATATGCTAAATCAATTGTCAATGAAGACTTTCATATTCATATATGCTGGTGAGTTGTAAATTCAGCAACAAATTGTGCTGTATTACCGATCTCAATGAATATTTTTAGAATATTGAGTCACAGAGAGTCAGAAAGTGAGTCAAACTCTAAGATTCACACATATCCAAGAAATGCCCGGAAATGTGTCATTTACAAGAAATTAAAGTCAAACAAAGAATTGTTAGTACCCCGGACAGGTTGAATGATGTGTTCTTACACCCCTATCACACCAAACTAGTTATTACCCGTTCTTGCCAGTCCTACGAAAATGTCGTAAAACGGGCTCAGTCTGGCTGCGGTCGGCCATCGAATTTTGAATCGTTTCAAAATTCTAAATCACATACCCCGTCCGGGAAAGTCCATGAAGTTCGTAAACAGACCGTAGAACGTTGTAGCTACGTTCATTCAGTTCGCACACAGTTTAAAACCGATCCGGCAACGTTTTGACGATCACCAGAACATTTTGAGCATGCTCTAAGTGCTGGAGGACCTACTCGTTCTAGCAGTTTCATGAAGTTTGTAAACAGATTCCAAACGGTTCTTAGTGGGTTCTTAGTACGTCAAATCCGTTCGTGCACAGTTTAAGCCCGTTTTCGAGAACGTAGTGAGGACTAGTTTGGTGTGATAGTAGGGTTACTCTATATTTGCAATAGAACAACCATTCTAATTGAAATTTTCCTGTTTTATTTTGAAGACAATTTCCAACATGGAAAAAATATCTTAATGAAATTCCTAATTTTATGATTTTGATAGAATTTTTTCAAAAACATTCCACTGTCACTATAATACAAGTTTTTTGCTTGAACAATTGAACTTTTAAAGTCATTTCAAATATTGTCTGGCTATTGAATTTTCGGCCGCCTAATTACGCCCGTGATCGTAAAAAATTGATGGAGGGGGGGGGGGTCAGGCGATTTCTGCAAGAAAACTCAACAAATTTGGAAGATTTATTTTTTTCAAGAGAAAATGAATAGGCATGGCAAAATATGTTAGGTCATCTAGTATTTCTTTTGAACTGATACACCCTTCTTAGATATGAGATATATTAAAAAAGGCGCATCATCACCTACTGTTGGTCTTTGGGCTCAATAAAGTTATTCACTGAGCCTACTTCCAATGGGGACTGGATCTGACCTTGGATCAGTGCATGATGGTTCTTTTCTTCATCCAGATCGGGACACAGAGCCCGACTCTGATCGAGTTCCCATTAGTCAAGGAGGATTGGCTCCTAAAGTGCAAAATCAATAATTTTGCCATGTCGTGGTTACAAAATTCGAACAGCCACCATTTTGTTCATAACAACATTTGAATCGTGAATTTGGGTCTTATTTCCACACGAAAAATTCCAAAACTCACAAGAAATTATCAAGGCAGAATCAGATCCATGGGTGTGACAAAATTTCAAGTAAGATAACAGAGTTCTGCTTTGATCTTCAGTCAGTTGTAACACTCCCATATATCATTTACATGGCCCTCTGAAAATGTGACTGAAAAAATAAAAGTTAAAAGTTGGCGATTTGGAAAGGTCGCTGAACAGAATATTTTAAAGTTTTTAGAAAATGTGCCCAACATATTGCTTCAAACGATAGGAGCTTTGATTATTTGAATTCATTTCTAGAAATAGAGAAAAAAGAAGAAAAAATGATTTGAAAATCTTTTTTATGACCACATTTCCTGTTTGGTGTAAAGGTCGATTCTCGGTTTGGAGAACAGTCTCCTGGGCTAATAGTTTTTAGAAATATTACCCAAATTAATCTATGAATATTCAAAAGAGGACATTTAAATCTACAAGATGTAAAAATAACAAATTGGTCTGAAGCAGGGGTAACGCTCAATTAGACCGATTCAATAAAATACAATCTCGATTTGAGGAAAGAAGTTCATCAGTGTACTGCGCTAATATTTTTTTGCGAAAAATCTAGAAATATTACCCAAATTAAATTATGACTATTCAAAAGAAGACATTCAAATCTATATCATGTAAAAAAATCAAATTTGTCCGAAGCAGGGATAATGCTCATTTAGATTGATGAACTTCGTTCTCCAAACCGAGAATCGTCCTTTCTGATAACTACCCCGAGACCTTAATTTGAAAATTAAATTTTAAAAAACAGAAGGAATTTTTTTGTCTAATGTCATGGGTCGGATCGGGTCAGGCCAGAAAAAGTGTGCAGGTTGGGTTATTCGGGTCGGGTCAGAATTTGTTTGTGTAGTTGTTAGTAGTTTTTTGTGACCCGGCCTGAGCCTTCACCGGGGGTTCCGGTCAACTTTGGGTCGATGTGTAACCTCTGCTTATTTTGCTTTTTTGACAGAATACTGTGTATAGTAGGCAATATTAAAATGCAAGGACTTAAAAACTTACATCTCTACCAGCAATAGCTTGAAAAGTAGTGTCACTTGAATCTCAGTATTGGCCCCTGTCATTTCATTATCTAGTATCCATTATCTCAGGTTGTTAATGTGTCTCATCTAAATGCCATTGGGACCAGTTAAAAACTTTCAGATTTGGAGGTGTTCCAATTTCGAGGTATTTTGCATCTTCAAGATTCTGGATTTTGAAAAATAAGAATGCATTTTCAATATTAATATTTCTATTGAAATATTCTATTCTCATAGCTTCATAAGATGCCAAAATCCTCATTCAAGGCCTCTATGATTGAGACCAGTTGGCGTTTTTCTTCATACTCAAAGGTTCTGGGCCGATATAAAGATGGCAGCACCAACAGAATCCAGTATGAAACACTTGTTTACTTTTAAAAATGTCAGTCTCACCGACATATTATATGGGTCACTATACATTTTTACATGTTTTTGTATTCAGTATATGACACAGTCTAAGCGCCTTACAAATTAAGCCCTAAATTCGACCCTCATCTGAAGCATTTCGTCCGTTTTACGGCCAGGATAGTATGTCCATTTCGATATTACGATTAGATAAAATATTGTTCTACAGGGTGGGTCAAAACGTCCATAATTTTCATGTCGGTTAAACTTTCTTATCAGAACCCCATGAATATTATTAAATATTGTAAAAGTGATTTCTGCCATCCCCTGTTAAAAATTGCATCTTCAAAAATGTTATATTGAAATACCAAATATGGACGTTTTTGGCCTACCCTGTATATGTTGATGAGAACGGTGGTTGCTCGGATTAATTGGGGTCAGGTCAGAGTCCAATAAATCTACAGATGTAAAGAAGTGAATCAAAAAGTGTTCTTTCAAAAGTAGAAAGTTCTCTAAAATAGTTTTAAAAACCTAACCCCTAACGCCGTTTGTATCACACATTCTACACCATGTAAGGATAATACAGTAAATGTAAACTATTCTCGGACACTTAATATACACTCACTCAATGCACTGTGTTTTCTCATTTCTTCTTAGATAACAAAAGAGTTCTTCAACTTGACATACAACTTTTACCGGCGTCCCAATGCCGACTACAGTGTGAATGGCACGGACAAACTTATTTCACAGAGAGACCTCACAACACTCTGGAGTCTGGCCACAACCGTCTATCTAGTTGGATGTATGTTGGGCAACATTTGCGTCGGGGTCATCGCAGAGAAGATAGGAGAGTAAGGATTCCTACAGGGTGTTTAGAAAATAAAGGTCCCTAAAAGTAAAACCTTTGTGAATTTATGATATCATTTGATGACATATTTCAGATTTTGTACAGCATACCGTATTTGTATCTTTATTTTCAGGACACCCTGTACTGAATGATTATTTTAGAGTAAAGGGTGGTTGTAAGTGTCACTTTTCTAAACGTAACAAAATGTATAGACTAGACCCAAGGAGGATTGGTTCCCAGGATCGAAACTCGATATTTTCCAACAATGAAAACGTCGAAATGTCGTTATTTTCTAAAATTATAACCGACTATAAAGTCAAAATAAAGAATCTTTTTTTTAATTTTTATATTTCCTTTATTTCATAATACATCATACAAACAGATACAAGGCCTACGCCGAAGCATTATTGGCCCTGCTAAAGCAGTTACAATATAGGTTAACATAGGTCACAATGTAAAAATGATAGATATAAAACATATTTATGAACATGAAAATAATCGTGAAAACGTGAAGACAGGTCAGAGATATATATACATATTAATGAATATGAATGAATATATTAACTTCCTTGACAATAGAGTGTAAAAATTCGGCTGTTGATTCAATAGCCTTTTTATTTGTAATTGTGTCAAGAGAAGGATCTGCAAAAAGTAGAAAGTCTACCCTGTCTTCCTGTTTTCTATTATTAAAAGAGTTTAAATTAAAGGATGGCAGTCCCCCTAATTCTCTGTGAAAATTGAGTCTTTGAATGTTAAAAAGAGTTAAAAGAATTGAACCAATATCTCGATCGTTTCTTGTGACTTTTGGAATTTTTTGCTAGGAAATAAGTCAACCCGACAACTTTTTATCAAAAGTTTACTTCAAAATGGTTTTTCATTTACTATGGGCTTTCAATTAGAAACTAGCCTAATTACCGTTTGCTTAATTATGTCCGAGCTACTTTAAATGCGTATGATCTCTACTCAAACGGAACTTTACAAAAAGTGTTTTTCCATTTTATTTTAATATATAAAATTCACATTTAAAGGCAGAATCAGATCTAGCAAGATAGCGGATCTTTTGTGAGATATTATATTTGAGATTGTAAGGAACATATTGGTAGGTCAAATGTTCATGTTGCTTGCAATTCTGTTACTCTCTATGGATCTGATTCTGCCTAATCTAATGTATCATTCTTACACGTGAAGAATCTCAAATGTATGCTATAAAAGTTATAACTTTATTTTTTAGGAGATGGTCTCTCGTATTTGCATCGCTATTTGCGTTCATAGGCAGTGCCATTATGACCCCTACACTGGTCGCTAGATCGCCAGAGATGCTAATTATCGGTCGTTTCTTCATAGGGATAAATGACGGTGAGTATGATTGCATTTTATTTTCATGCAGGTGCCCCATGTGGCAGTTCACTTTATCTATATCATGGGCTTTCAATTAAGGCTGGCTGAGGATATGGTGACAATGTTAACTTAACAAGTCGAGGTGATTTTGGTAAGTCCAAAATATTGTGAGACTAAAGGATAATGTATATCGTTTAGCAAATCGCTCGTTTTTGGCTTTGCCCACATTATAAAAGGTACGATCCCGGAATAATACTCAAGGGTGCTCAGGATGAAGTCGGTGTGGAAAGACATCTGCCTGTTTATGTAGCAATCTGTAGTATAGATCGCCATGCATTTATAAAACGGATATTTTGATGAATCAATTTCACCTTTTATTCGGGTGAAGTTTAGGATCTTCTGTTTGTGTTCAATGAGGAAAATTGATATCTTCATTTACTTTTCAAGTATAATTAAGTGCAAAGCAAGGCCTTAAGTTTACGACATTATACAAGTATTTTCGGCGGGAGATTTGTAACTTACTCATTTTTTTCGACATTTTGACAGAATATGGTTCTTTCCTTTTCGTAGAAACATTGACCATACCATGCAATATATACCTCTAGTATCACTACACGTACGTATCAACATTTCGTCTGAACACGGTATAAAACCTCTCAAACCTTCTAGAAAGCACGACAATTTTTTTGAAAAAATGATCATTGTTCACAAGAATCATCATAGTTTCTATAACTCTATCATCTTGAAATATTGATTAAATATTGATTGCGAGAAATTGATTTTTCTTTGAAAGTATACGACGTAAAGGAGGTATACGACATTTCATTGTAGATTTTTAATTCCCTGAACGTTGTACCTTTTACGTCGTATATTTTCAAAAAAAATAATTTCCCCGGAATTCTTTCATTGATTTGGGAAACTGATGTGCCTGGATAATATGTAAAAATTGTATTGTTCATCTTATCAACATTTCAAGATGATAGGGCTAAAATTGTAGAAACTATGTTGACTTTAGTGAAAAGTTATTATTGTTTTTCAAGGAATTGTCGTGCTTTCTAGAAGGTTTAAGAAGTTTTAGACTGTGCTCAGACGAAATGTCGAGACGTAGTGATACACTGATACTAGAGGTATATCTGCAAGATATGGTCAATGTTTCTATGAAAGGGAAAGAACCATATTCTGTCAAAACGTCGAAATAAATGAAAACTTACAAATCTCCCTCAGAAAATACTACTGAATATAACGTCGTTAACTTCTGGTGATACGACGTATAAGAGAATGGGGTGTGAAACTAGTCTGGAGTCGCCATAATGCATTTAAGCGGGAAGGTATGCGTGACCATTTAACCGTAAGAAAGAAATGAATTATGAATTTATATTAATATTTATTCACCCTTGACATTTTTGTTTCAACCTTAAGGCATATATTGTCGATCAAAACTTTTGACCGGTCTTTTCAATCAAAATCGTGAATTCATTAAGGTTCTAAAATTTTGTCGGTGTACTGTTATCCCTAGTTTTCATCGGACTGCGATTAATTAATGGTTTATTGTGAGTAAGAACTTATTCTAAAGATTGCATATTGGTCTCGCCCTCTGATGATGTTTATTTGCAGAATTTTCTTTTGGCCCTGTCCCCATATGTTGTATGTGGCCTTATATTTATTACGTATAGGGTTGTCCCAGGCGGGGTCTCATGATGGAATTGTAGCTGTACTTGCATGATTCTATATGGGTCTTGCCATTATATGGTTTTATATGTCCTTTGGTGGTATGGGTCTTTCACGTGCCCTTGTAGTACATGCGTTTGCAGGACTGCCTTTGTTGTAATTATAGGATTATCTATGGGTCTCGCCCCTATATTCCTCTCTGAGATCACACCAGTCCACCTAAGGGGATCATTGGCGACGTGCCATCAGCTGGGCATCACCATCGGTGCCCTTTCCACGGCTATCCTTGGTTTGAAGCAACTTTTAGGTGAGTTGAAATTTCTTACATATAATTGTGTCAAACTTTAAAGATGATTTAAGCTTTGGCTTGCTTCTTCAATCATACTAAAAGTATATTTTAAGGATGATAACGAATAATATGAAACATTCAAGGGGTACGATTTCACTTTTCTAGTGATCCTTGTTTATGAAACATACATTACACGTCGCACGAAACTGGGGACAATTAGCGTAACATTATGGCGTCAAAAAACCAAGACAAAACAATGAGCAGCATAGGGCGCAAACAGCCTTACAACGTCAAAAACGACAAGCGTCACATTTTTGTCAAGTTTAGTCAACCTAAAAATAAAATACTTTATCCTTATCTAATCATGACAAAATTCACAGGCTAGCAAGATCTCGAAGACAATATTTCTAAAATGTTTTTGAATTTTGGAAAACGGTCAAGAAATCCACTTTGGGCGTTGGTAAAAATTGATATGTATGGAATTTGTGGTAGAAAATCGATGCGTCACATATTTTTCAAGTCTCGAAAACCAGCTCTTATTTTAATATTATTTGCAAAATAAACAAACTGGTTATTGTTTTGTAAATTTCGCCATGACAATATTGTGCAGTTAATTTTTCTTTCAAATCAGAGTTGAATTAGAAGGTTAAATGAAGGTAAACTTATTGCTCGTCCCATTCGCCTTCAAAACCTTACACAATTTTGAAAATTTTAAAAGCGTTCATATATGATAATTTGAACTGTAGCCGTTAAGCAATTGTGACGTCATAAATGAACATGTTCTATTGAATAAATTGTGAAATTTTAGTGGGATTTTGATCATTATTTCAAAAGCTATCCCAATTTCAACGAGCCCTGTAAGTGTAAAGTGTTACGTCTTACAGCGTATTTGACGATTTTGGGATATGTTTAACTTTAAAAATATGTTGGATCCCATCAAAATTTTGAAGAAAAAATAATTTCACTGAAATGCGAATAAAAAATACTTCAAAATGATATATACAACACATAGCTAACTTTTTAAATAAGGCAGAGATTAAGGCTCAAAGCTGAAATCAGCCCGTATTTCCCGAATTGTCCCCAGGTCCGTGCACGTCATAACATACGATTTCACTTTTCTAGTGATCCTTGTTTATTTCTTTTGAACGATGATGATTTCATTGTTTTGACTAATATTTCAGGAACTGCCGATCGGTGGCCATATCTGTTACTTCTGAACATCATCCCAGCTTCAGTATCTCTGTTTGTTCTTCCCTTCCTACCTGACTCTCCACGATACCTCCTTCTCACCAAGAATGAGCCTTCTCTAGCGAGGAAATGTATGGTTTTAGATATTATAATGTTCGATTTAAAATCGTTTCATGTTTTGATCAATCTGTGGCACATAGTTCACTGTTTAACCTCAATGCATTGCCATGGTGTAGAACCCAAACGCTCCTACATGCACGACGGAGCGTTACATATGATCACAACTCATATGTTTTGCATTTCCAATGTTTTTTATAAAGGTTGTAATTAAAATCATATTATTTCCAGCTTTGCAATTCTACCGTAACAGAGAGGATGTTGATGCCGATTTGAATGAGGTAGAGACCGAAGCACGTGATGCTGGCATACAATATACCATGAAGCAAGTGTTGACTGATAGAAGTCTCCGCTGGCCACTGTTCATCGTAGTCTTTCTAAACATCGCCCAGCAATTGTCCGGTATCGATGCTGTAATTATGAGTTTTTAACATATGGATTTTAGTTAAAGAAATGAGGAGTAGAGTGGGAAAATGTTGAAATCTTTTGAATTACCTTACCAATTTCAAAAAAAAGAAATCAGATATCTGATCAAACATAAAAAATATTGGAGCTTAAATATGCTGAATTGACCCATTTTCAATCTGTACATGTATAACCTTATAAAAGTAAAAACAATTTTGAAATAAATCAGAACAGCGGGACGGTTTCAGATAAGTCACCCTCTCTCAAATATGCTTTATTATATAGGCTAGACAATATAAGAGGGAGCTGTGACTTACTCCCCATGGACGTTTAGTATATGTCATTTTCATGGTAGGTCGTGTTTTACCCTTTGCATTTGTATGACTTTTTGAAAAATCACCATTTGGAATATTTTTCAGATTTTCTTTTATTCTGAAATGATCTTTGAGATCGCACAAGTTGAAGATATCCAAATGGCTATTGTTTTTACAAATATAGTTCCTGTTGTCACGACAATGGTTTCCGTAAGTTCACCTTTAATCTTCTATTCTATGATTAAAATATCCAGATTCAGTGCATCAGATCTATAGGGGGTGACACATTGTGAGCAACATGTACAATTGACCAACCCCCAAAATAGCGAAAATTTGAAAATTCCCAAATAACAGTACCTCTGTTATTACAGGTGCTGTATTGTTAGTAACACTATTATTGACTATTATTATTGTATTGTTAGAACTACAATTGTTGCAAGTGTTGTATTGTTAGTACTACCATTATTTCAGTTGTTGTGTTGCTAGTACCACTATTATCGAAGCTAATGATTGTTAGTACTGCCATTATTGCAGGTGCTGTATTTTTAGCACTACTTAGTGGCACTTTCATTCCAGGTTGTGTATTGTTATAGTACCTCTATTATTGCAGTTGCTGTATTGTAAGTACCACTTTTCTTGCAGCTGATGTTTTGTTAGTATCAGTATTATTGCAGTTGTTGTATTATTAGAACCAGTAATTCTTCTCAGGGGGGAGATCTTCCAAAGTTCAGCCTTCGTGTTCGGTCACATGGTAGATCCATACTCGTATAAGGCTTATAGGACCATTATAGGAATCCAACTGACCGTTGTCCGCCATTTTGAGTAGCATGTGATACATCCATATAAGGCTTGTATGCCCATACGAGATGATTAAGGGGAATCCCTGAATACGAAAGAATATGATAGTATTATGGGAGCTACTCACTTCTTCTAAATTATTCTATTATTGCAGGTTGTGTATTGTTATTAGTGCAACTATTATTTTGCAGGTTGCGTATTGTTATTAGTGCAACTACAGTATTATTGCAGATTATGTATTGTTATTAGTGTAACTATTATTGCAGGTTGCATATTGTTATTAGTTCAACTATTATTGCAGGTTGTGTGTTGATATAAGTTCAACTATTATTCCAGGTTGCATATTGTTATTAGTGCAACTATTATTGCAGGTTGTGTATTGTTATTAGAGCAACTATCATTGCAGATTGTGTATTGATATACGTTCAACTATTATTGCAGGTTGCATATTGTTATTAGTTCAACTATTATTGCAGGTTGCATATTGTTATTAGTTCAACTATTATTGCAGGTTGTGTATTGTTATTACTTATTAGTAGTTCTTCTATTATTGCAGGTTGTGTATTGTTATTAGTGCAACTATCATTGCAGATTGTGTATTGTTATACGTTCAACTATTATTGCAGGTTGCATATTGTTATTAGTTCAACTATTATTGCAGGTTGCATATTGTTATTAGTTCAACTATTATTGCAGGTTGTGCATTGATATACGTTCAACTATTATTGCAGGTTGCATATTGTTATTAGTTCAACTATTATTGCAGGTTGCATATTGTTATTAGTTCAACTATTATTGCAGGTTGTGTATTGTTATTACTTATTAGTAGTTCTACTATTATTGCAGGTTGTGTATTGTTATTAGTACAACTATCATTGCAGATTGTGTATTGTTATACGTTCAACTATTATTGCAGGTTGCATATTGTTATTAGTTCAACTATTATTGCAGGTTGCATATTGTTATTAGTTCAACTATTATTGCAGGTTGTGCATTGATATACTTTCAACTATTATTGCAGGTTGCATATTGTTATACGTTCAACTATTATTGCAGGTTGCATATTGTTATTAGTTCAACTATTATTGCAGGTTGCATATTGTTATTAGTTCAACTATTATTGCAGGTTGCATATTGTTATTAGTTCAACTATTATTGCAGGTTGTGTATTGTTATTACTTATTAGTAGTTCTACTATTATTGCAGGTTGTGTATTGTTATTAGTGCAACTACCATTGCAGATTGTGTATTGTTATACGTTCAACTATTATTGCAGGTTGCATATTGTTATTAGTTCAACTATTATTGCAGGTTGCATATTGTTATTAGTTCAACTATTATTGCAGGTTGTGTATTGTTATTAGTGCAACTATCATTGCAGATTGTGTATTGATATACGTTCAACTATTATTGCAGGTTGCATATTTTTTATTAATATAACTATTATTGCAGGCTGTGTATTGTTATTAGTGCAACTATCATTGCAGATTGTGTATTAATATAAGTCCAACTATTATTGCAGGTTGCATATTGTTATTAGTTCAACTATTATTGCAGGTTGTGTATTGTTATTAGTGCAACTATCATTGCAGATTGTGTATTGATATAACTCCAACTATTATTGCAGGTTGCATATTGTTATAAGTCCAACTATTATTGCAGGTTGCATATTGTTATTAGTTCAACTATTATTGCAGATTGTGTATTGTTACTAGAGCAACTATCATTGCAGATTATGTATTGATATACGTTCAACTATTATTGCAGGTTGTGTATTGTTATTAGTTCAACTATTATTGCAGGTTGCATATTGTTATTAGTTCAACTATTATTGCAGGTTGTGTATTGTTATTAGTGCAACTATCATTGCAGATTGTGTATTGATATACGTTCAACTATTATTGCAGGTTGCATATTGTTATTAGTTCAACTATTATTGCAGATTGTGTATTGATATACGTTCAACTACTATCGCAGGTTGCATATTGTTATTATTTCAACTATTATTGCAGGTTGCATATTGTTATTATTTCAACTATTATTGCAGGTTGCATATTGTTATTAGTTCAACTATTATTGCAGGTTGTGTATTGTTATTAGAGCAACTATCATTGCAGATTGTGTATTGTTATCAGAGCAACTATCATTGCAGATTGTGTATTGATATACGTTCAACTATTATTGCAGGTTGCATATTGTTATTAGTTCAACTATTATTGCAGATTGTGTATTATTACTAGAGCAACTATCATTGCAGATTATGTATTGATATACGTTCAACTATTATTGCAGGTTGTGTATTGTTATTAGTTCAACTATTATTGCAGGGTGCATATTGTTATTAGTTCAACTATTATTGCAGGTTGTGTATTGTTATTTGTGCAACTATTATTGCAGGTTGTATATTGATATAATTGCAAATATTGATGCAGGTTGTATTGATTGACAAGATGGGCCGCCGTATGTTGCTCCTACTCTCGACGACTATAATGATGCTATCTTGTATTCTCATAACTACCTCCATCAGCCTACAGGTAAATTGTATGAAGAAAACCATATTGTGTATAAGTGTTTTGAGATAAAGCTTAAATCAATAGACAATGTCAAGCATGTTTAAAGGTCTTCTTTGCCACATATCTTTAAATGCAAATCATCTATGTTTAGGCACTGGTCCCCTGGATGAGCTATGCGTCTATTGGATTTGTCAATCTCTACTCTGTTGGATACGCCCTCGGTCTAGGTAAATCACGAGACCATTAATTTGTCTTTAATTGTCTCATCGGCATCATAGAATCTCTACTCGAGAAGGATTTTCTATGGCGTTACGTCATTTCTAAGGGGCGTAAGTTTGCCAAAATGAGACAACACTAAGACAACAATACTGCCGGACTATTTCTTACATGTTATATTCAAAATGACAAGTGATTCGATAAAATATGTTATGTTCTTTGGGATTTGCTTTTTCTACTATGCTTCAAAATATTTTAGGTGCTATACCTCTAATGATTGGAACAGAGTTGTTTAGGCAAGGCCCTAGACCACAAGCAATGGCTATTGGAGGCCTCGTCAATTGGTTATGTGACCTTCTTGTCAGTATAGGCTTTCCCCTTCTAAACGTATGTACTATTTATTTTTATAATAGTTGAAAAAGGGGTGGGATATTCTTATTCCCAAAGCTTTTATCCCAGCTTTTATGAGCGGCGTTCGCAGGTGATGACACTTTGTCATGTTATTGTTGGTGTATTTTGAAAGGAAACATTTTAGAAAGTTTAAAGCCTACTTTTCCAACATGCCACTGACCTGTACGGGGTTTCAAGCATATCTAACCGAATGTCTTAGAAAATATTTTTGCTGTGTGTGGAATGAATGATATGAATGAATGTCTTTTGATTGGAACGTTTTTTGTCGAATTGGTAGTTTTTGTATTTTACGTCTTTTGTAACAATTGCCAATATTAACTGAAACAAACCACTTGTATCCTCTGTTTACTGAAGTTAATAATGATAAATAATGTTTTCATACTCTTATCTTTCAGGGAGTTCTGAAACAGTACACCTTTCTAATTTTTATGACGTTTCTGATTGTATTTATCGTGTTCATATTCTTCAAAGTGCCGGAGACTAAGAATCGAACAATTGAGGAAATTGCCCAAGACTTTGATACTCGTACGTCAAATGATGATGAAGCTACACCATTGAACACTACAGTTGAGTGGAACAGTGTTGTGGAAGCGAAATGATGTAATAGATATTAAATAGATGCAAGATACCTTGGCGTATGGCGTAACCCACCTATCCAAGAGTGATACCACTTGCACACCAACTGTCTTCATGTGGATGATATATATACGTGTAATATCCCAACAATTACAAACGAAGTTATGTAGGGATAAAGTGAAACTTCTGTCTATCATTTTATGAATATTATTTTATGACATCTCTCAGATTCAGGAAAATGTGATCGAGGGCATCATATTTTGTGAATTGAAATTTGATAGACAATAAGGTTGGCATTTTAGTAAATAAAATTACTGAGGTTAACACAAATGAGAAGTAACAAAGGGAGACAATGAAACATTTTATAAATACTTTTATTAAGTTTTGAAACTAAGTTATCACTAAGCGCATTTTCTACATAGATCTAATAAATAAATGCTACATAAGAATACAATCCATCTTAAACTATAAATATAAGTCACAAAACCAATATTTTCCAACCTTCACGTTCACAAGAAAATGCAAAGTAAAGTTGTATATTTGGTTGAGGTGTTGGTTGTCCTGGCATAGACATTAGCCCAGGTATGGTGGGTGTGCCAGATTCAGAGACATCTATTGCCCAATCAAATGTCACAGTCTTGTTGCTTATTTCTATTGTCACTCTTATTTTATTGTTTTGTAAAACTTCTGTGTCAATAGTGAGTACAGAGCCTTTAGTTAAACTTGGTAGTTTTGTCACCTTTTCTTTGCCATCAATAAATATTGATCCTGAAATCAAACATGATTAATCACTGATTAAAGGTAGAATAAAAAATCCTGTATCATTCTTTAATGGATGGATGCATGTACAAACCCATACACATAAAGCAGGGTATGGCTTATTCGTAAGTATGACTATTATTATTACTTATCATATGCGTATAAGTACTGCTAAATACCTTGCATAGTAACTAGTAGAGTACCAGGTTGACACAACGAGGCACCCTCCACTCTAGCAACACTGAGACCCAGGCCTTCATGTCCGTCCTCTACACCCTCAGACATGTCACCCTCTGCAACCTGTAGCACCTTGAACACCATACTGTGGCCACAAATAAAACTGTCATGGTTGGAGTAAATGATCCTAGGTTTATTAGTCCTACTTACTAATGTTGTATTGTCACTGATAAGTTTAAAGCCATCTACACCAGAGCACCATTCTGAAAAATAGGACAAGAGGATGGATGGATGAACAGGCTTTTAGACTCAGTAGATTCTCAGGAGTCTAATGTCTTTAGACCCTCTTGCTCCAGAGTCTAATAGCTTTTCTGGAGTCTAAAGTGTTTTTTCCGGAGTCTAATTTTACATTTTTGTCACATTATTTGTGGTAAAACTCTTCAGAAAATACATAAAACTGGATACAAACAAGGAATAGGAAGTCAGAAACCTTTTACAAATGCATATTGTAATTAAAATAGGAAAATAATCTTAAATAGTATTTTGGAGAGTATACTAATATGATATCTCTGATCTCACATGGGGGAGGAGTAGTTCAATACAGCGAAAAATCCGGACTCTAAAAATTTCGTGGTGAGTACCCTGAAATGAGTTGAATAATTATTCCAATCTTCTCTAAATTCGTTAACATGCCACAAAACAGATCTTTGATAAAGAATGTATAGAAAGAGAGAATTATTTACCATGATGAGGTAGGGAAGTTATCCCAACACGTGGCAAGCTCCAGGGAGTCCAGTCACCCTCAGCTTCAGAACAACAGGCCCTCAGTGTGTACTGCTTATTGCACTGAAGTCCTGTCAATATATAGCTACACCCTTCACCTACAATCATGCAGTAATACACATATACATGCAGTTGAGTACATGTCTTTAAATCTAGCAGTGCAAATTGCAATATGGAGGAATACATTTATCACAATATTTTTGAAAAGAGAACTCTGTAGATGATTTTGAAAAAAGAATGGTCCTGTTTAGTATAAAAGGTCTGATCCCCAAATAATACTCAAGGGTTCACAGACTCGAAGGATTTATATGTGACATAAAAACTAGTTATGTGTCTAAAGAGTAGAGATGGACTACATCTAATAGTTTTTGACATTGGAAATTACCTATATATGCATCTTTGAAGACTGTGCCACAATCCTCATCATTGCTGGATCTACCATAGCAGTACTGGAGTCTGTAGCGACCTGCCTCCAGACAAGACTCATCTGGCTACAATGTGAAAGCAGTAATCATGTCAGAAACATTACAATGCATTGATAATAATTTGCTTTACTGCTTTGTCAATGATATGTTGTTGGAATTCTTAAATTAAAATTTTGCAAGAAGGCAATTCAATGGATGTCATTCAAGTCATTCAGAAAATAAGTTTAATAAGTTTAAAAAGTATTTCCTACCTCAGACCACTTGACTAACAGAGCCCCAGGCCTTTCTAGTATGTCCGTTATCTGCACTGGTCCTTTAGCAAACACCCTGCCGCACTCATCAATGGCTTCTGTCATTTGACCAATCAGAGAGCCAGGAAGATCAACACTGATGCATGCTACATCTGAGAGCAGAGGAACCTCAGGAAGGCTGAAATGTTTTTTGTTTTTATGTTACTGTATAACAGAAATTTCCAACAAATATTTACAATAGCTAAAATTTCCTCATAGAAAAAGTCCTTATTCTGAATGAAATGTGAAGATGTAAAGCTGAACATGGATATGAAACTCATTAATGGCACATTAAAATGAACAACAATAAAAGACTTTTAAACCTGGTGGGAGTTTTGGTGTCTGCTTTAGCCTTGAACATTGTCAGGCCTTCCCTATCTTCTCCAGCCATTAACAGAGATTTGCCTGCAAGCAATGAACATAGATGTCATAACAGAACTAGTATGTTACCAAAGCTTTCAATAGGTTCATGAGAGAGAAAGAACGGTTTTATATGTCTCTGCTTATAATAATTCACTTTGCTTACAGTTAAGTTTCAAAAATCTTAATTTTACCTTAAAAATGTCAAAATCCTAAACTCTATACAAAGTTTTAAATAAAACAGAAGAACTGGGAAAAGCACTGAAAACGGTCTTACCTTCATTGAGCAGCTTCGTGGTGTCTACCATGCCTGTTTCAATGAGTGCTTGACAGGCAATCAGAGGGCCAAGAGAATCATTCTCTATCTTAGACACCTCAGAGATCAACTCTCCTTGCCTTTTATCTAAGCTGGCATGTAGTGAAACTTTCAACTCTTCAAAGAATTTCTTTATCTCATTCTTGGACTTATCTGCACTATGTGTAACCTGCAACATTAGATGCCATATATAAAATACCCTGCAACTGTAGACACATGCACTTCATGTAACCTGCAACATTAGATGCAATACATAAAATACTCTGCAACTGTAGACACATGCACTTCATGTAACCTGCAACATTAGATGCCATATATAAAATACCCTGCAACTGTAGACACATGCACTTCATGTAACCTGCAACATTAGATGCCATACATAAAATACCCTGCAACTGTAGACATATTGCACTTCATGTAACCTGCAACATTAGATGCAATACATAAAATACCCTGCAACTGTAGACACATGCACTTCATGTAACCTGCAACATTAGATGCTATACATAAAATACCCTGCAACTGTAGACACATGCACATCATGTAACCTGCAACATTAGATGCCATACATAAAATACCCTGCAACTGTAGACACATGCACTTCATGTAACCTGCAACATTAGATGCTATACATAAAATACCCTGCAACTGTAGACACATGCACTTCATGTAATCTGCAACATTAGATGCTATACATAAAATACCCTGCAACTGTAGAGACATACACTTCATGTAACCTGCAATATTAGATGCTCTTCATAAAATACCCTGCAACTGTAGACACGTGCACTTCATGTAACCTGCAACATCAGACACATATTGTGAGGCCTGATATTTACCTTAAACATTGCTAATACCCTGTATATGATAATTTTTTTGTTTCAAGAAAATTTGTTTGTGACTCAAGAAATCGATCTCCTATTTTGAAATCAACAAAAAATTCTTAATACACATTTTTACATGAATTCTTTAGACAATATGCCTCTTCTAAAATCTGTGTATAACACTGTATATCATTGTATGGTATATGAGCCATGTTGAGGTAGAGCACCTGACCTTCTTAACCTGTATGAGGCTGTATATGCGTTACAAGTAAAATGTAATATTCTATTTATGTTTTAAAACACCTGAATTAATAAATATGACCGAAAGTTATCAAGAAATGTGTTGTAGTTCAAAAATGAAAAACCAAAAATAAACAAGGCAAAATGTCAATCTGCTATACATGTATGTTACGGACACCAAACACAAACCGCTGGATGCCGAACACAAAACACCAACCCTCAGACATCATTCACAAATAAGCTGGAGACTATAACAATATGTCACCACCTCTGGTATATATTTATAAATAATTTTAAAAATAAGTCATATAAATATGCTCCTTTTGTTTGAAAATGGTCAATTATACAGGGTGTCCCAAAAAAGGAAACCAAGATTAAATTGCTAATTTCTCAAAGATGAATAATGTTAGGGAACACTCGCATGTACCACCATTTTCAACATTATGTCCTCTTTCATATGATATCAAGATTTTCTATTTTCCTCCACAGATGACTGAGATATGAAGGATTTAAGTGACCATGCCAGAAATGGGTTTGTGCCACTTTCAGCCAAGTCAATTTCATGATCATAACATAGTGATAAGTAACAACAAACATCAGGATATTACTCTTTCATTTATTCCAATTAAAGTTACACTTATCATATTTAACACCCCTTTTGAATCGCCATGTCCATTCAAAGTTGTTATAACCCCAGTGTCTTTTAACATGACCCCCATTCCTTTCAATGCAAATGTCTGCCCTAGATCTCATTGCACACACTGCATCCCTGATGATGTCTCTCTGTTCCTCTTTTAGAATCTTCCCTGCTGCAACAATCCTGGTCCTTAGATCATCAACATCTCTTGGTGATGTTGTGTAGACTTAATACTTGAGATAACCCCATAGCCATTTTAATCCCTCATTGCTCAGTCATTCATGATAGAAAAAGTGGCACAAACCCATTTCTGGCAAGGTCACTTAAATTCCTTAGAACTCAGTCATCCATGAAGGAAAATGGACAACTTTGGTATCATAAGAAAGAAGACATAATAATTGAGCAAAATTGAGCAGGCTATCTAATTATGAACAATCATCAAATTGATACCGTTAACAAATTAGTTAAAGCCTCAAGGTTGGACAGTAGATAGACAAACTTGCAAACATTTTATAACATCTAAATATCAGGGAGTTACTCTAATTGTGTTTTTGTGATCCTTGTAATACAGCCTACAACAGTAGTGCCTGAAAACATATCAATAACAACCGACAAATGCAGATACTTTGATGTGAATTACCTGTGTCTTTGCTGCATTAAGAGATTCTGTTAGGTCTACTAGTTGTAACTTATGCTTACTGGCATTGTCTATAGTCTCCAGGAGACACTCTATCAAACCATCCTCCATGCTCTGAAATGTATTGAAACATCTGATAAAGCTTAGATCAGAGAAGATAAAAAAAGAAACATTTTGTGTCTGGAATATCAGGCCCATATTTCCTGAAAATGTGGAACTACCTTTTTGCTTTCTTGAAGGAAAACCTGCTCTTTCCCACATACAGGGCGATCCAAAAAAGAGAACCCTCCAATAATAAAATAATTACTTTAATACTTATCATATGTAATCAGCTTCATTTTTCATGTACAGAAACTAAAATATATAAACGACAATGTAAGACTAAATCAATTACATAACGTTCATTATTTTTCTTGTTATGGTCAATTAAAAAATGTGCCCACTTTTGTCAGAAAAGAAAATGTACATGTAAGATTATCATGTCAACCAAAGGTTTTTGGTCATGTGATCACATGACCTTCTGCCAAAGTGTTGGCTGCTTGTTTCCAATCTTGGTAAAATCATATGGAAGTAAGTTTCAAAAGAAACATTGACTCAAGTCCGTGTCCCCAACTGTGAAGAGTGACTGGTTGATTGTAGGTGGTCGGGCGGGAGAAGAGAAACACACAACAAAATAGAACAAAGAACCAAACTGCCGACAAATAGTAGTGTATACCAGTACAGCACAACAACAACAATCATAAACTTATGAATAAATGCCACTCGGCCTGTGATACAAACTGTAACAACTCAATCGTTGATGTGAGGCCAGCATACAGGGACTGCCTTGGAAGAAGGTGGTGATATACAGTCAACTAGGAAGGGCCAAGGGATCTATCATTAGAAAAAGTTTCTCAGTTCAGTCTATGAAAGGTAATCACTGGGAACCTCCACACTTTATTTTTACCAGAAAATAACACGGGGGCATAACGTGACGTGAGTTTCTTTATTGAAATTCCGGTGATCACAAAATGAACAAAGCACAATTCATTTTGAATCTTCAACGCAATATATTGTATCAGATGAGTATTTACTACCTCAAGAAATTTCTCTTGCCAAGTCTAAATCATAAAATAATGGTCTACCCTACCTTAATATTGCAGAAATGGAGAAAAATCTAAATATTTTGAGATTCACATTTACAGGACGTCTACCATTTTGAACGATCACGTGATATTAAGATTACGTTGTCACGTGATGTATAAATTTATCAAATTCTCACCATGTTCTCATCATTATGCCTTGCAACTTTGCATTTGAATCAAATAACCCAGATGCGAGTAGAAATAATCTTGATTTACGTCATTAAAAATTCAAAATTCAGTCAAAGTAATATCATATTTGAAATCCACATGTAAAATTACATCTAGAAATGTGGTTTTAAAAAGTGTTTATCAACTTTGAAAAATTAATTTTCTTTGAAAATGTGACTTCTAACTCGGGGAGATTCCCCATAGACCCCATGCTATAAAATCACAAAAAATGAAATATCTTTTCTTTTAGTGGTCAGATAATATTTTGCTTTACTGGACATATTTTCATTAGTATAAGTATCAGACACATAAGGGTTATATGAAAATTGAGCCACTTAAATTGATAATATTCAATTTAAAGGGAACTTTCTTATATACCTGCCATGTTAATTGACCCGAATCAGCCACCTGGTGGTGAAACTGGTAACTACCTACTCGCATTTGGGTAATTGAACACTTTTAAAAAAAATCATACACAGGTTGCCAGGAGCTCACGTCTGACCTTTGATTTTAGATTTGACCTTTGCCCTCAAACTGAAACCATCATGAATGTTAGTCTCACCAAAAGGTCAGAAACATCATAAGGGGCTCTATAATTAAGGTTGCAATCTAAGATCTGGTTCTCTATTATTTGAGTGACAAGTGCCACAGTTCAAAGATCGAAAGGAAAATCTTATGACCCAATCATCCATATTGAAAACAAAACCCCAATATCCTAAACTATTGACACCCAAAAAACTTTACTTTGACAACCCCTCTCATACTCAAATATGTAACAAATATACACAGTAAAACCTGCCTGATGGAACACCTTTCTGTATGGACATGTTCATATTCTATAACAATTTGGCAAAAATACCTTGATATTTAATCTTCTTGACAGGGTGGCCATAATATTTTTAACCGGATGGCAAGTAATTTTCAATTTTTCAAAAGGGACTGGTGAAGCTCAAATTATCGTAGAATACTCTGTATTACCATGGGCTCTACCACCTCTGATAGAGCCCATGGTATTACAGAGTGATTCTCAATTAATACAAAATAATCTTTATTACAGGGCAATATTCAAATAATTTTAAAATATTCTATATTACAGGGTGATTCTCAATTATTGCAAAATAATCTATATTACAGGGCAAGATTCAAATTATTGTAGAATATTCTATATTACAGGGTGATTCTCAATTATTGAAAAATAATCTATATTACAGGGCAAGATCAAAATTATTGTAAAATATTCTACATTCAGACACGATATGGTGAGATACAAGTAGAAGTTAGTGCAAAATATTCAATTAACAGGGCTTATGCTTAGCACTTAAGTAATAAATATATAATACCCAAAACTGCTATATGAATGACAAACACAAATATTGTTTTTCACCAATTTTATTGGGCCCACTTTTTTACAAATTTTATTTTTGTATGATTAACAAAATAACATGTACATTTGTAACAGATAGCCTTCCCAATTGCTTCAGGTGCATAATAGTAACATTCTATTGTTAAAAGTACTCATAAGACTAAAACAATGCTTGGTTCTTCTACATTTAGATTGGTCAAAAGTGACAATGCATGCCTATTGCATATCTGTATTTATATATATATATATATTCTTTACATATACTCAGTATGTGTCATCGAGATTTCAGGTCTAAGGTCAAAACTGGAATTTTCAACATGTGTTACTGTATTCAAATAAGTATTTCAGGAAAAAGGCTTGATTTTAGCCAAAATGACACTCATATTTCTTAGAACTTGACCTAAACCCCTTTTCACTATATACACATGTAAATGCATATTCCCCTCCATTCATATTACTGCGATAATATCCAACTAGTTTTATACAATATTTACATTTGAAACTTGAATATAATATTAAAATACTGCAAATGAAAATGCACAAGCATTCACCCAAAATTAGATGGGAACCTCTCGATCTTGGAAATAGCAACACCATGGATCAGCAAATTATAACAAACAATATATTTTGCAAAGAAAATTATGTGCAATTCTAGGATAGTTGACTATTGGTGAGGGTAAAGCTTCCTCATTTGGGCATCAAAAAAGTGTAAGTCTCCATTCAAAGTAGTTGGCTGATGTTTAAAATTCTCACATACTTTGCCCTTGATTTTCTTGTTTGTATCAAGTATACATGTATTTTATAAAAATGGATTAAGGCCAAGGGCTTCACTATATCCCAAAACGGCACTATTTGGAAGATGGTGGATGGAGAGTTTCATTATATCCATTTGAAATTCATTCATTGAGATAATAACATAATTGTACATTTTAAACATAATGCACAAAAACAATGTATTTTATGTATTAATAGTGAATCAAGTTAAAGGCAGAATTAGATCTGGGTGGTGACAAATTGCAAGCAACATGTACAATTGACCTACCAATGTATTCTTTATTTTAATAAAAAAAAGGTTCACAGCTTGTATGTTATCCATTGGTGAAATTATATACGATCCAAACAGCTCAACTTGCCAAAAATGTGTGAAAATGTTTACTGATTAATAAATGTTGTGACCACATTTATAAAATAAAAACAGGTATTAAAAATCTTTAGTTTTCCTCAAATAAAGTAGAATTAAAACAGTTTTTGTTTCGTTTGCTCGCTAGATCTGACACTACCTTTAACTTGAGGTCAATTGAATTTCCCCTTATGTGATTTACCTTTCCATTGAAAAGTGAATGTTTAATCTGAATTGCACATTGGTTAGCGTTTACAATCCCCTGGTCTGTAACTTGTCTACAATATAAATCCATCTCAATATAACGAATTAGATGGAGCAGTTGATATTGCGTGATAGTTCCAGGCAAGAAGACAGCAAATAAGAGAATGCACCATTAGCAGCAGTTTAATTCTCTCTCTCTATATATATGTATGTGTGTGTATCTAAGCTGGTGGTCCCCCTTATATTCTGGGATGTTGAGAGATTGTTCACTGAGTCCTTAACAGCTGGTCAATCTGAAATAACAATTTACAAGCATTTTGTAATTAGTCAACAATGTTATAAAAATACAACACACATAATTATGAATGTTCACACATATAATTCTCACAATACAACACATTCAACCCAAACATATCATCTTAAATGAACATTCTTTTTCTTTGAATAATAGACATATATGACAATGAAATGTAAAACTGTACTCTCAATAAATTATAAGTGGTAATACAATGCAATACAATACAATACAACACAAGACAACAAGAGATGTTGAAAATAGCACAAGTAAAACCTTCTATACCTGTGTTTTGTACATTTCTTTCACATCTGCCAGATCCAGCCTGAGTTCTTGAACTTGTTCTTCCTTCTCTCCATACATCAGTAGCATTGCGTTGTAGCGACCATCTAGCTCCTGCAAACATGAAATAACACATGCAAATGAGATCCTCATCCAGGTAAAATGCAAAGGGAAATGGGTCACTGCTAGTGCCTAGGTGAGAATAAACTGTTTTCCTATTTTTATTTAATTTTCAAATAGTTATTTTAGGAGGTTCTATCTGTCAGTGTTAGCTCCATTGAGCATATTTCAATAAAGCAATTCATCTATGACTTCCCATGCTAGCATCTGCCAACAGAACAATTCATGTATGACTACCCATGTTAGCATCTGTCAACAGAACAATTCATCTATGACTACCCATGTTAGCATCTGTCAACAGAATAATTCATGTATGACTACCCATGTTAGCATCTGTCAACAGAACAATTCATCTATGACTACCCATGTTAGCATCTGTCAACAGAACAATTCATCTATGACTTCCCATGTTAGCATCTGTCAACAGAACAATTCATCTATGACTACCCATGTTAGCATCTGTCAACAGAACAATTCATCTATGACTACCCATGTTAGCATCTGTCAACAGAACAATTCATCTATGACTACCCATGTTAGCATCTGTCAACAGAATAATTCATCTATGACTACCCATGTTAGCATCTGTCAACAGAACAATTCATCTATGACTTCCCATGTTAGCATCTGTCAACAGAATAATTCATCTATGACTACCCATGTTAGCATCTGTCAACAGAACAATTCATCTATGACTACCCATGTTAGCATCTGTCAACAGAACAATTCATCTATGACTACCCATGTTAGCATCTGTCAACAGAACAATTCATCTATGACTACCCATATAAGCGTTGTGATTCAAGTTCATACATTTTTATTAATTTTTACATATCAAACATACTTTGCTTAAAAATACTTAATATCTTTGGTACTTTTCTGGTACATTCGGTACATTTTATAACCATTTGAATTGGACTTTACTCCATAAATGTTGTCCAGATAGGTTCAAATCAATTCTAACAGACTTACAGTATATTTCTCCCTGATATCCTCTAAAACATCAAGTTTTTCCTGAAGTTCATCATTGTGGGTAGATAAGTTGACTAGTTCACGGGCCATTGACTCCCTGGTCCTCTCCAGACTCCCAATTTCACTCTAGTGGAGAAATTAGAGACAACAACATATAGTGCATATATAGGTTCAGTTCAGATACAATAGTGGAACCTATAAAGTGAAACACCTCTATAACATATCCATAAGTGGAACACTTATAAAAGTCCCAAGTCCCGATGACTTAATGTTATACACAATTCAGCAAGAAAAAACACCCCCCAAACGAACACTTTTAGAGGTACCAAAGTGTTCCACTTACACAGGTTTTAGAGGATTCTAAATAAAATTTGACTTTCAAAAATAATTTAATGAAATTGTAAAAGTAATTTTTTTAGGGACAAGAATATGTATTTGAATGGTGTCAGGTTTGAAACATGTATACACAGTAGTCTATTCTCCCCTATTGAACTATTATGTCCTATCTTATGTCCTAGGTCACCTGTAATTGTAGAATCTCTCCTTCCCGCAGTTTTAGCTGTGATTCTAGATTCTCCATAATGGTGGCAGCACCAGTCTGACGCAAGCTATCATAGAGACTGGCCTTGTTGCCATTACTTGATGCCAGCATCAAAGTACGCTCTAACACTTCCTCCTAAACACAAAAGAAATACAACTACAAATAATCTCTCTTGCTTAAAATATATTTTAGTATAAAAATGGGCATCCAATCCAGTTTTAAAATTAAAATCTTATTCCTAAGTATAATAGTATAGCTCCGAAAGGCGATTAACATGAAACAAAAAGGAAAGGGCATTGACATGCAAAATGTCCCCAACTGGCATTTGTTACAGACGCGGACAACCGAATATCAACAGTCGAAAACCATCCACAAAAAATTAAACAAAAACTATAACAATTATGTCATCATTTGTGGTGTTGACATAATAAAATGATCTGGTAAAGCTGAACTACATGTACATAAATTCATAACATGTACCTGAGAAAGTGGCATTATAGCATTCTCACTCGTGACACTGCTCTGTCTAGAGTGACTCTGTCTAGGGCTACGACTGGGAGGTGTACTGCTAGCCTTCATGGCTTGTAGGTCCTATAAACGCACAACACATAAACGTAAACTTTATTAGGCATCAGATACACTGTAAATAACATTTTAATGTCCCCTCTTAAGATCTCATTGAATCAATTTAAAATCTAGTCCAGAAATTGATGAGGATAAAGCATATTATAAATGTAAATTGTACCTTTTCTCTCATTGACTCATGTGCCAGGAGAAGCTTCTTTTTCTCAGCCTCGGTTCTTATCTTTTCCATCTCAAGCTGGTTCTCCAGCAGAATCTTCTCCTTCTTCAATTCTTGGAGGTCATGGTTCAGTGAGTGTTTCAATGCTTCTAGCTGGGCACTCTCACTGCAATAAATCAGTAAATTAGTCACAATAAATAAATTAACTTTCCCTCTCTTTTTTGATTTTTAAAAAGCAATCAATTCACTAGCTACGCAAAGGATTTTCCATTATTTCAGAAAAAGATTTACAATTAAGTTTTGGGTAATTTAGGCTCAGTATTCACTTCACATTACACAAAATTAAAATTTTAAACCTTACTTATTCTTTGCATCCTCCAGTACTTCTATGCGGGCACTAAGCATGTCTTTCTCAGCTGTCAGTCTGGACTTCTCCTGTCTAAGCAGTCTGACCTGAGACTCCAGGGAAGTTAGTTTAGTGGACAATTCCATGGCTTTCTCACTGGACATACGTTCCTTCTCAGTTGCAGTAGCTAGCTGACCCTGCACTTCAGCTATAGATACAATACATAATTCCACCTAAGTGCTTTATATATTAATACCATTGTATACTTTGATATACTAGTAAATTTATACAACTCACAATGTGTGCGCAATTGTAACACAAGAACACAAATGTGTACAAAATGTCCCCACCAATGGGTGATCCCGTCTAATGGTTATCTTGAAAATGGGTAGACAAGACCTAATTTGAGGATGGAAAATCCAAAATGGCGACCTTAAAATTTACCCAGAATGCCATGAAAATTTGAAATTGATCCACAGTTAACCAGAAAACATGTAAACAAGACTTTACAGACAAGATTTTAGGATGGAAAATCCAAAATGGCTGCCTTGACATTTACCTAAAATGTAAAAAAACTAATCAGTTTGTAAATTTTCATACTAAAATTCATCCCTGAAAATATGAAATTGATCTTCCGAATGGTTCACCCGAAAACGCATAGACAAGACTTTACAAACAAGATTTTAGGACAGAAGATCCAAATTTGCTGCCTTGACATTTACGAAGAATGCCAAAAAACTAAACAGATGTAGATTTTCATACTAAGAATCATCCCTGAAAATTTGAAATTGATCTACCAAACGGTTCACCTTAAAACGCGTAGACAAGACTTTACAGGCAAGATTTTTAGACGGAAAATCCAAAATGGCTGCATTGACATTTATCCATACTGCCAAAAAACTAATCAGATCTAGATTTTCATACTAAGAATCATCCCTGAAAATTTGAAATTGATCTACAGAATGGTTCACCTGGAAATGCATAGACAAGACTTTACAGACAAGATTTTAGGACGGAAAATCCAAAATGGCTGCCTTGACATTTACCCAGAATGCCAAAAAACTAATCAGTTCTAGATTTTCATACTAAGAATCACCCCTGAAAATTTGAAATTGATCCACCAAACGGTTCACCTGAAAACGCGCAGACAAGACTTCACAGACAAGATTTTAGGACGGAAAAATCTAAAATGGCCGACAATAAAAAAGTGATTATGAGTTTTTGCTAATTTCCTTTTACAAAATTATCACATATAACTACTGTTAACAATAACATAGGCTTTTACAAGAAAGTACATCTGAAATTATTTATAAAGCTACTAAATAGTTAAAGTATGAAAACTCAAAAACACCATTCAATATGATACAAAGTATTATCGCGCGCTAACTTTTCTTAAGACATTCAAAATGGCTGCCATGACTGAGCTAACAGGTTCAAAACCTAATCAGATCTAGAATGAAGTGAGCTGAACAAGATATTAAAGTTTTAAAAGCAACTGTGAAGCCGTTTTTCTTAAAGTTTGCAGACAAGGATTTTAGCATTTGACTTCAAAATGGCCGACAGGAAGTAGGTTTCGAGTTAATTTTTTTTCATCCACATCTGTATGCGCTCATAAGTTATCCCTGAAAATTTGAAGGTGATATCTGTAGCGGTTTTGGAGAAAACTCCCGGACGTACGGACGGACAGACGGACGGACGGACGGACAGACGGACGCACAGACGGACGGACGGACGCGCCTAGGCCGACAATATGGCCCCACACTTTGTGGTGGGGACATAATAAAAGTGAATCCCCATTAAACATTTAATCAAATATCATGCAGTGCTATTAATAACCAATCAGTAGCATATAACATAAAAGAAATAATTATCAACACATTTATTTAATCTACTGATGATAAGGTTAACTGGGAGGTGATTTGCGAAAGCATTGTGCAGGACTCTCATCCTTACTGATGGTCATGATCCATTGCAGGGATACTATCAAGTCAATTTACCTAATCTTTCAGTCAAATTCTTCTCAATTCGTTCATATGAGACTGTCTGTGCAGAGTATGTGGCTTGCAGGTTCTCAATTTGTCGCAAGAGAGGACGCGAGGCCCCAGAAACACTCTGTGTCAACTCCTGGTTCCTCACCTCACCCTCCTGTAGACGCTGCTGGAGGTCAGATATCTCCTGGCGCAGTCTATTCTCTCTTCTTGAATGTTCTTTCTCCATACGTGACACAGATAACTGTAGATCTTCAACCTATGTGGAACAAGTAACACATAAAGAGATACATTATCCACCTACATGTATTGTACCTCTCCATTGGAACACCCAAACTAACAAATACATTCAAAGATGCATATTTTTCTGTAATATTAGGTTTAACATGGCAAGTTCTAGGAAGACTCCCTACCTGCATGACTAAGCCTTCCTGTTGTTTTCTAGCAACAAGCTGTTGTTTCTCCATTGCAAATCGTATTTCTTCTTTAGCAGCCATCTCTTGACTCAACTTTTCCTCCTGTACCTTAGTAGACTTTGTGGCCTGCGCCTTGTGGAGCTCAGCCAACTCCCTGCAATGTGCAAGTACATCAACAATGCGATATGATAGAGAGATAACATTAGCACTATGAATATATGATATAGAGATAACATTAGCACTATGAATATATGATATAGAGATAACATTAGCACTATGAATATATGATATAGAGATAACATTAGCACTATGAATATGATATAGAGATAACATTAGCACTATGAATATGATGAGGTAACATTAGCACTATGAATATTATATAGAGGTAACATTAGCACTATGAATATATTATATAGAGATAACATTAGCACTATGAATATATGATATAGAGATAACATTAGCACTATGAATATATGATATAGAGATAACATTAGCACTATGAATATATGATATAGAGATAACATTAGCACTATGAATATATGATATAGAGATAACATTAGCACTATGAATATATGATATAGAGATTACATTAGCACTATGAATATATGATATAGAGATAACATTAGCACTATGAATATATGATATATAGATAACATTAGCACTATGAATATATGATATAGAGATAACATTAGCACTATGAATATATGATATAGAAATAACATTAGCAATATGAATATATGATATAGAGATAACATTAGCACTATGAATATATGATATAGAGATAACATTAGCAATATGAATATATGATATAGAGATAACATTAGCACTATGAATATATGATATAGAGATAACATTAGCAATATGAATATATGATATAGAGATAACATTAGCACTATGAATATATGATATAGAGATAACATTAGCACTATGAATATATGATATAGAGATAACATTAGCACTATGAATATGATGTAGAGAGGACATTAGCACTATGAATATGACATAAAAGACACCCCAAAGGTTTCACTTTGTCTAACAACTAATATCTTCTGATCCTGCTTTAAAATCTGGCATGGATTGATGGCATGATGTTCTTCTCCATACTAAATTTCCCAATGTCAAAATTACATGTACGTTTTGAATGACATATTTGGATACTAACAGGGCTTCAAAAATTTCATTTCGAAAATCCCTTCCTATGCAAAAATACATTTCACACATAATAAGACTCATTTCTTTGAGGCCAAAAATGAAAAAGAATCAAATTTTGCAACCAATGTATAACATACTTGTACGAGTTGTCTAGTGCAGACTGCAGACCTCTTGCCTTCTCTAGGGATTCCTCAAGGTCAGCCTGAAAAAACAGTGGACATTAAACACATCTGATTTTGATCCAATCAACCTACTTGACCAACAATGCTGTTTAGTGAGGAAAGCCATTAAACTATTGATGTACCATTGGAAAATGAAATAGACATACATGTAGTAACTAAAAGTGATTTACAGTCTACACCAAATGTACATATGCCCAACAAATTTTATTACATGTAACAGTACATTGTCTAAATCAACAATGCGTTCGTGGATCAGATTTGTATACAAGTATTTATGATGAATAGTGGATAAGGTACCAAATGAAGTTCAGCAGGAGTGAATTTTTAGTGACTTGAAAAATATAATTGTGATGACTGGAAGTCTATATTGGTTTTCTCTACTACATTTTTCACCCCTAACAGGTAGATTGAAAGTGAAAATGCACCTGAAAATAAAATAAACATACCTTGTATTTTGATAAATCCTTTTCCTGTTTCTTTACAGCAGCGTTCAACTGATTAATGGCATCTGAAAGTCAATAACATTGACTGAAATCAAATTAATGTATCAATAATCTGGAAGTCTAAATACTAAATGCATTAGAAGTAGATTTGCCTTCATGAATATTTGAAAGTGACCTGTTCAATGGCACTTACAATATATTTGATGTTGTAATCTTCACAATATTTAAGTGGTGGCCATTAAAGTGATTTCACTAGATTTACTGATGCGCAACAGAGTGAAGAATGAAATTAGCATTGAATGTATGTCTGGACAATACTGGATTTGAGAGCTTTGATATTGCTAAAAATGATGTGACAACTTGTTTTCACTGGCACAAATCCAAAAATAGGCCTACTTTGTTGCAACCAATTCAATAATTTAATTCCACTGATAAGACAACAATTTTTATTTTTATGTTTCAAAACATGGCTTCACAAAAAATATGCAGTTAACAGGTTGCTAAAAATTATGCAAACAATTCAACTACATAAATACAAAATTACAGGGCAAGAGAGTTAAATGTGTGAAAAACAAAATTCTCATTTACTATACCAAATGAGAAAAACGAAACCAGTGAAGCTGTAAGTGTGCAATGTTTAGTGTGACATTCTTGACAATTTTCCTGTCACTTCCCTGTTTGCACAGTTGTACATGTATTTACATAGTCACACTCTGATGAATTGACTTGAACTACTAGACTGCAAAGTTTAAAATAACACCAATGCATGCAACAAAATGTTTTACCTTTCTGTTTAGTTTCCATGTCCTCTTTAGAATCCAAAACCTTATGAAGACGCTCAATTTCAGTTTTCTGTTCATCCAATTTTTGCCTGAAATAAATATATGAAAAAATAAAACATATGAAATATGATCAATGAAGAATCTATATTCTCCTATAAACACAAAAAATGTTCCCTTAATAGTCAGCGCAAATGATGAAAATTTCTAATATAAAAAAAAGATACACCAATTTAAACATTTAATCATTATACCAGAACTAGCTTAAAAATTGTAAGTATTGTATCACTGTAAATGAAGTTTAGAGAGGTGACTGCCTAAATTGTTGCCACTATGTAGGGACAGGCCTAACTTACACCCAAGAGACACTGAAGGTAAAGTATGCCTGAGGCAAAAGTGTGTACTTTATCAAATAATTGCCACATAACATACTTTTGGGATTTAACAAGTGAATCTGTTTCCTTTTCCTTTGAACGTAGTTTCTTAATTATGTTGTTGCTTTGTAGCTGCTGCTTGGAAAGTTTCTCTCCCTCCTCCAACAGCTCAGATATCTGCTGATCCTTCTCTAGCATTAGACTCTCAGTCTGCTTGCTACTAGACCTGCAATGATATAATAATGATATAATAAGATATTTCATTACTCAGGGGATTCACGAAAACTCCTGACAACAGACACATCATTACTGGAAATTATAATTTGAAATACTGTAGTTACTAAATTGTAGTTACAAATTACTCAAAAGAGAGAGAAAGGAGAAGATATTTATGTAAGAAACATTCAGGAAATATATCAAATATCTACCTATTTTCAGTTGTTTGTTAATACTAAGGTAATAATAACTATTAACTATTTCTATGACATTCATTTGTTACGTACAGTTCTCCTTGCATTGACTGAAGTTGTTTCTTCATGTTGTCCCTCTCCTGAAACATAACAAAAATTGCATATTAACAAATATTGGCATATTAACCTTTAACTCTTAAATTTTACTCAAAATTGAAACTGTTTAAATTGGGTAAGTATTACATAATTATACCCATCAGTTTGTGAACTGTTGTTTTTAAGAGTCAGAAATTAAAACAACACTAACAATTCAGATTAACTTACTCGACATGTAGCTTGTAGTTTTTTCTCTGAATCACTGATCCTCTGAGTGAACTCCTCCGTGATCTCATTCAGGTCTGCCATTTCCATCTCCCTGGCTTCCTCTGACTGTTGCAGCTGACTAATTATATAAATAACATAAATGTAGCTGACTGATTCATGTAAATAACATACATGTAGCTGACTGATTCATATAAATAACAAACATGTAGCTGCTGACTGATTCATATAAATAACATACATGCAGCTGACTAATTATATAAATAACATACATGTAGCTGACTGATTCATATAAATAAGTTAGATGTAGCTGACTAATTATATAGCAACATACAAGAAGCTGCCTAAATTACAGGGTGATTCGCATGTATGCATCCCCTCTAAACTGATACATGTTGCATTGCAACACTATCTGTTCACTTTGTTTGCTACCCATTTTTAGTGATAAAGGTGGTACCATGGTCCCTGGCCTCCCTATCAGCCACTGTGAGAATACTGTCTATTTATCTTTGTGCATAACTGTCACAGATATGTCGACTAAACTGCTAGAAATGTGCCATACAGAAACTAAATTTGTCCTTTAAATTGCCCTCGAAATGACCAGAAATTCCCCTCTAAATGACCCGTATCAGCATACTTTGATACACTGTATCTTTTTTCAGGGACACCTATGGATTCTGAAACTTTGCAATCTTACGTAACTGAACAAAATGATATACAAGGGGCGATCCATATATTCTGATAAAAATGCTCTCATTTTGCTATTTTTTCACATATCCATCTCATATTTTCAGAAAATGTAGATTATGTAATTACACATACAATGCTCAAATATTATAGCTACATCTTAAATTGATTAAGAGATAGGGTTACCATGGTAACCTGTATTAAGGGTAGGCAGGTCAATTAAATTATAACGTATAAAATATCATAATAACTTGTTATTTTAATTATTTTAAAGCATGCGAAAATCATACATTTTTAAAAAAAAATGGTTTTGTTTCTTGTTGTTTGTTGCTAAACAAATGTTTATTTGTGATCACTATAACATCACAACAACTCACAATAGCAATGTATGACAGGATGGGCAAATTGGAATTACATGTCATGAGACACACCAAATATTCAAAATGACAGATCAGATGAGGTTAGTGCGGCTGTTGCAGAGTGTGACATTAACAGATACATTAGGAGTACCATTAGATTTTATGTACTATCAAGAATAAGTAAGAGGACACTGCCAGAGACATACATGGACTCGTATAGTGTATGTCAACAAGGTGTTATATCTGCTCTAAGGATCTCTAGGTAGTATTGTAAATTTGAGGAAGGCTAGTCACTGTTGAATATCATTCCCAATCTGGTTGTAAGAAGAGCTTGCGGACAGAGAATAACACTACGATAATTTGAGATGCAATTTATGAAAAAAGAACTACTCCACTGTGGAAATAGCAAACAAGGGCAACAGGGGTATACAGCAGTTCAAGGAATAGTTGGCAATGACCTGGATATGCGTTTGATCTGCTTGAAATAGGTACCGAGGAATGATTAAATTAACAAATTTATCTATTTTATACGTTATAATTTAACTGACCTGCCTACCCTAAATACAAGTTACCATGGCAACCTTATCTTAAAAATAATTTAAGATATAGCTATAATATTTTAGCATTGTATGTGTAATTACATAATCTTCAAGTTCTGAAAAAATGAGAGGGATATGTGAAAAAATCACAAAATGAGAGCATTTTTATCAGAATATATGGATCGCCCCTTGTATAACATGATAGGTTGGCACATCTATGAGTTTAGAGGGGGGTGCATACAAATGAAACACCCTGTATTCAAACATAAGCTGACTAAATTCTACAAATTGCACATGGCTGATCTCTGATATATTGTATAACATACTTTTATGGTTGTCTAAAGCAGACTGTACACCAGTTTTAATGAACTGATTTTCCTTACCTGCGTAAAACAGCAGATGTCTCCTGGAGGTCAATGTTTTCCTTGCTCAACTCTAACAACTTTTTCTCCCTGGCATCAAGCACCTCTGCCATGCTAGCCAACTTCTACAATCACAAGTTATCATTGGTTAAACATCTGCCATACATTTACAAGTTTTAGTATATTACTAGCACACCATCTTTGCCAAATGTTACTATCACACCACCTTAGCCGAATGTATTAGTATGTTACTATCACACCACCTTAGCCGAATGTATTAGTATGTTACTATCACACCACCTTAGCAGAATGTATTAGTATGTTACTATCACACCACCTTAGCCGAATGTATTGGTTTGTTACTATCACAACACCTTAGTCGAATGTATTAGTATGTTACTATCACACCACCTTAGCCGAATGTATTAGTATGCTGCTATCACACGACCTTAACCACATGTATTGGTATTTTACTATCACATCACCTTAGCCGAATGTATTAGTATGTTACTATCACACCACCTTAGCCACATGTATTAGTATTTTACTATCACATCACCTTAGCCAAATGCATTAGTATGTTACTATCACACCACCTTAGCCACATGTATTGGTATGTTACTATCACACCACCTTAGCCACATGTATTAGTATGTTACTATCACACCACCTTAGCCACGTGTATTAGTATGTTACTATCACACCACCTTAGTCACATGTATTAGTATGTTACTATCACACCACCTTAGCCACATGTATTAGTATTTTACTATCACATCACCTTAGCCGAATGTATTAGTATGTTACTATCACACCACCTTAGCCGCATGTATTAGTATTTTACTATCACATCACCTTAGCCGAATGTATTAGTATGTTACTATCACACCACCTTAGCCACATGTATTGGTATGTTACTATCACACCACCTTAGCCACATGTATTAGTATGTTACTATCACACCACCTTAGCCACGTGTATTGGTATGTTACTATCACACCACCTAAGCCGAATGTATTAGTATGTTACAAGCACATCATTTTAGCCATATTTATCAGTATTTAAGAGTAAACCATGTAGGCTAATCTTGGTCATTTCATCAGTAAATGCCAGTGGCAGTATTTAATTGAATTAATTCAAAAAATGTATTGTTTCTAGACCAATATTTGCACCTGATGAGAAAATATCTATGTGTGAATTGAAGAATTTATTTGAGATGAAGCATGCCTTTTGTGACCCTTATAATATATATTGTTCATCCATCACAAAAAAATATTCAGACCACTCACATTTTTTCAAATTTATGAAACAATAGATTATATTGTTAGTACCTCAGTTGAAATACTCGATTTTGATTGGTCAACGAGCGGTGAATAATTTTAACTGTACACCGCGCAATGCATTGCCGGTGAATAATATTCCCAGCATTCCACTAAAATGACGTCATTATCAGACGATAAAATGGCCGCCGCTAGCACTAGCCGTTTCAAAAATGTTGAAGATGAGGATATTATTAGTCTCTTAGAGAGTAAAGACAGTCAAAATACGAAGAAAAATCTAAAACTTTGTACAAAGCTTTTAGTGGACTTCGCCCAGGAGAGTAATTTGACTCCATTGAGTGAACTTACTGCCGATATACTAAAATACAACATGAACGTCTCGAGGGTCTGGATCCAACTTCAAGTCAACTTCAAGGGTCAGAAAAATCTATATTCTTCGGACTAACAAAACAATTATAGACCTCCCCATTCGGTTTACTGTCAAAATTATATCCCTCGACTGTAAACCTCGACCTACGGTCTCGGTTTACAGTCTTGGGATATAATTTTGATAGTAAACCTCTGGAGAGGTCAATAATTGTATAATGTAATATAGTAAGTGTAAAAAAGCTGTAGTACTAATGTATAATATATACTCATCAAAATAGTTTTCATTTTCTGCCACACATAATTGATTAAGATAGATACCTGAAAATAAAAGTTGATATCATTCCTATTTTTGGAATTATTATTTCAAGCCTAATTTTTGTGTCACCCTGTACATTGTTACAGCAACATATGGTGTGGGGTCAAGATAGAATAAATTTTATTAACAATTGGGAGAATTGCTGGAATAACCTCATAATAAACACATACTATTATATCATATACAGTAGAATAGTTTCTATTTTTTAGGTATTTATTTCTATAGGATTTTATTAAACCACTGTCACTTGAGAATCTTGTGTCACTTAAGCACACCGCCTTTGACACTTGTATGTTTGTATATTAGTATCGCACCATCATAGACAATTGTAACATAAAGGTTACAAGGACACCTTTGACACTTGTATTTTATATGTTAGTAGCAAACCACCACAGACAATTGTAACATAAAGGTTACAAGGACACCTTTGACACTTGTATTATATATGTTAGTAGCGCACCATCATAGACAATTGTAACATAAAGGTTACAAGGACACCTTTGACACTTGTATTATATATGTTAGTAGCGCACCATCATAGACAATTGTAACATAAAGGTTACAAGGACACCACCTTACCTGTAACAGAATGGCAGGGTCATCACTTGGATCTTCAAACTGCAGCATAAACACAGACATGCAATATAAATAAAAATAAAAAAATACTCGCTACAGACACTACTTTAAACTTGTAAATATGTATCTCCCATTTATCTATCCAATGAGTAAGGTAAAATTTGCAAATATCTCCCAAATCAAGCTATGTGATTGCTAAAATTTCACCAATGAGTAAGTTAAAGTTTAAAGGTCTTGTAAATATTTCCCTAATCATTAAAGTAAACTGAGTAACTACATGTATCTCCCAATTCAGTTGGGTAAGGATTGGAAATATAAATATTCCCAAATCAATTATAGTTTAAGAAGGTAAAGCTTGGACAATTCTCCCTAATCAGTTAGGTATAATGTGCAACTATCTTCCCAAAGGGTAGTAGTGCTCACACATGTTTTAGTTAAAGGTACTCAAGATGAAAGCTTGCAAATATTTTATAAATTAGTACTTCTAGGATAAAGCTTGCAAAAAATCTCACAGTTGAAGGTAAAGCTTGCATTTCTCGTGCAAACCTCCTGTATCATCTTATAAACCTATATTACATAAAAATCAAACCAGCACCAGGACCTAAATGTAAAGAAAAGTTTTATTGTATGACTATTACAATTTGCTGCTCTTGCTTTCACATTATATTAAACATATACTTTCCGTTTCGCAGAATTATAAGATCAGTCTTGAACTATACTTACATGCCCTTGAACATGCATGCAATGCACTAATGACATACAACCTTATATATATAGAGAGAGGGGAATCTAATCAGGTTAATTTTCAAAACCTCAATCTATAATATTAAGAAATAATTACAAATGTATTACCAAACCGTATCCACATTTCACAATTCATGATTAGAAAGGAAAGAATTCCAACACTAACAGTAGCAATACATACAGTTAATGACAACCATAAAGCAATATGATGTTTCAACAGGAACAAACATATAACACTCAAATAAACAAACTTGTATTTTAGTTGAACCAAACAAAACAGTCCACCACACTTTCCATTATAATTCCCATTATATGTTTTATATAAACCTCTCCACCTTTGACCATGTCCTCACATGTAGTAGTAATACTATTATACAGACTTACATTCTCTTCAGCCAATTCATACAATGATTGGCTATGACCATGTTCATTGCTGTCACAACCACCATTATACTCCAGTTCACCATCATTTTTCTCCCCTTCAATTTCATCATCACAATTTTCATTGTGCATTCCTTGGAACTCCTCATTTTGTTTCAGAGAATCTTCACCCCTTTTATCATTAGAACTGGGATCGTTGTTTTGGACAATATCATCTTGTAACAAAACATTTTGACTTGTATCAGTGTCTTCTTTCATTTGATATCTAAATCCCTCTTGCCTATTACCTTCAGCAAATATGTTGACTTTTCCAATGACCTTGGACAGAACATTTTCTTGTTTGACATCAGCAAACTCTTTTACCTTCCCAAATACCTTCAACAACATATTTTCTTGATTCACAACAGTTAACTCTTTGACATCTGACACAACATTTTCCTGGTTGACCTCAATTAACTCTTTGACCTCTTGCACAGTATTTTCTTGCTTGACTTGGCTTAACTCTTTGACTTCTGGCACAACATATTCTTGCTTGACCTCAATTAACCCGTTGACCTCTTGCACAGTATTTTCTTGCTTGACTTCAGTTAACTCACTGTTATCTGACACAACATTTTTTTGCTTGACCTCAACTTGCTTTTTGACAACATCCTCTTGCTTGACTTCATTTAACTCTTTGACATCTGACACAACAACCTCTTGGTTGACCTCAATCAACTCTTTGGCATCCGACAAAAGGTCTTCTTGCCTGATTTCAAATAAATTTTTGTCATCTGACACATCAACCTCTTGGTTGACCTCAATCAATTCTTTGGCATCTGAAAAAAGATCCTCTTGCTCAACTTCAACTAGCTCTTTTACATCTGACAAAATTTCTTGTTTGACCCTTGTTATCTCTTTGGTATCCAACACAACATTTTCATTGTTGACCTCAGTTAAATCTTGGGTATTTGACACAATATATTCTTGGTTGACCACAATTAACTCTTTGAACTCTAAAACAGCCTCTTGCTTTGCCTCATTTAACTCTTTGGTAGCCGACACAATATTTTCTTTGTCGACCTCACCTGACACAATATTTTTGTGCTTGACTTCAATTAACTCTTTGGTATTTGACACAACAACCTCTTGGTTGACCCCAATTAACTCTTTGGTTTCTGACACAACATTTTCTTGGGTAACCTCAATTAACACTTTGACATCTGACACAATAACTTCTTGGTCGACTCCAGTTGACTCTTTAGAATCTGACACAAAATGTTTTTCATTGACCTCAGTTATTTCTTTGGTAACAGATTCCTCCTCTTTAACCTCAATAACTTCATCCAAATCTCTCTCCGATTCATCTAAACTATACTGAAAATCTTCATTAACCTCAGCATTTTCATTGACTTCATCATTAAGTACTTCATCATTTTGAACAAAATTATCATCTTTTGAATAATAATCATCTGTCATAACCAATTCAGTGCTTTCAACAGTTTCTTTATCATTAAACATTAAGAGGTCCCCTTCACTTTCAAACTGCCAACCACCCTCTGACCCAACATCTGACATTGCTGATTCAGTTTTAGTTTTATGACTTTCCTTTGATTGGACATTTTTGTTATTGGTATTTTCAGTGGAACATTTAAATTGTTGCATTTTATTCTGAAGAACAAGTTTTTTACTTGCAACTATGGTGGGGGAATAGCATGGGGTCAGGTCCAATGTCTGCAATAGAAAATACATCAATTTTTAGAACTAGTCTAATGAGTTACCCAGTCACCATGTGCTGACAATGATCATGGCATAATTGATATTGTAGAGTTAAGTGGTTAAGTCAAATCAAATTGTAATTCAATTTCAAATTAATGCTTCATAAATTTAAAGTAACTAAGAAATATATGAAAAAAGTAAAACTTTGAATTTCCAAATCCCCTTACCTAATAATGATGATGACAATGAGGAGCTTAATGACTGACAACAACTCAAAATATGACCAAGAAGATGACTTCATAAAACCTTAACCAGCCAAAGCGTCCATGGAGGATGTAATAAGAAGTGTTACTGTGCTATGTGAAAAAGTTTGTGACATTATGGGTACTGTCTATAATTTGTGCACAAAAGAGAGATGATGTGTATCTACGACCAAAAAGCAAAACTTATATTAAAGGCCATATTTTTGTGAAACACCTGGAGAAGAAAGGCAAAAGAAAAAGTCTATAAAAATTCAAATCAAACTAACAAAAAGTAAAATCAAACCAAGCCAGTTCCAAATAAAGTGTGTTAATGTAAATTTTACCATTGAGTTCATAAGGTGGTCATGTGACCTCTGCTGACTGTCAGTGGTCTCAGCTATGGTTGGTAATGGGGGGCTGCTAGCACTGGGGGTCAAACACGTAGCACTGACCTCCTAGAGATACATTGCCACATTGGAAAGTTGATTCACATAACAGTATGAATAAAAATATCCTCAGAAGCTGTGTTTTTATTGCTGAGAAAGCCTCTCAAATTCACTGATTTGTGTGCATGTGTGGATGCACTGAAGGCAACTTCATTCAAATAATATATAAATCATTATAAAATTAATAAAAATATATAAGTAAGAAGTTAAACATAAAGAGAGATACATTACACAGAGAGGAACATTCCCACTGGCAATGCAACCATATTGTACTGTTGATTTTAAATAAATCTTTGCTTCTCTTGACTTGAGCTAGATGAGGACAATGGAACAATCAAAAATGCATTTATGAATATGAGACAATACTAAATAACATACAAGTTGCTTACATAACCTTCTCTTAAACATACTGTACAACATACAAGTCAAATACACACCTAAATAAGTCATAAACACACCCATTTATTCGCCATGTTAAATAACACACACTCATCAGTTCAAAGTGTTTAACAAAATCCACGTCAACTCAAAACACACCTTTTGGTTCAACACATAAAGTACATGAGTCACAGAAATACCCTTTTGTTCAACATGTCAAATGAGTTATCATCAAACATTATATAGAATGCAAACTAATAAAATCAATAAGTCAATGAAGGTGACATTCCTTGCAATATTGAAGAATTTTAAAGAAAACTGCCTCACTTAGAATGACTCTAACTGAAGCTGATGATGACATATGAATAACGGGTGTTTGACCATTTGTTTGTGATTGTTCAGTTTACAAGGAAACATTTGGAACCGAGATTCAACTTAGTTTAGCTGAAATCGGAGGTTTATCGAAAATGAAAGACTTTTGTCTGCCATGATACTAACTACAGTGAGAGTCATCCAGCTGTGTAACAGTGTTAATGTTGTAATGAAGTTTCATAAGATCTTAATAATATATGAGACCTTTTAAAATCTTTAACTCTGGATGACAGCGTGTTGTGAGTGTGACACAAATAAACATGTACGGTATGTACAAAGCAGCATGCAGAATTACAGCTAAATGCGCATCATTTATTAATCAAATATACTTTATAACGCTTTTGTATTATATAATTTATCTACAAATTGTATATCCCAAGTGATAAGATGTGAAGTCAAGGAAAAATTCTAATAGTGGTGCAAGTAATAACAAATACATCTAATGATCAACAAAACAAATATACTACAGGGGCATAGCCAGCAATCACCCATCACACCACCCCCCCTGGCTACACCCATGTACTACATTTTGCATCATTACTTTCAGATGATGTGATCATAAGCTATTCATTTTTTATTTTTTTCATGAATGCCTTCCATAAATGATCTTATATGTACTATGAGAGAATTATACAGCATTTGTGTAGTTTTTTATAATGACGAAAATCATGCTTCAAGTGTGAATTGATCTGTGAATAGTCACATGATCAAGAGACATAAAGGTATGCTGGGATATGTGAGCTTACCTTTAGCAACTTCTCTGTCTGAAGAGGATTAGTATCCTCCCTTGTGTCTTTAACTGAAATAATAAATGAAACGTTTATATAACTTAAACCGTGACAAACTCTTTTATGCCTTGGTCACATTTGCTCCGATTTTCACTACGGCGCCTGGCCGATTGAGTATTTTGTTCAAAATTGAATACAATATTGAACAAAACACTCAATCAATCGGCCGGGCGCCGGCCGATGGATCGGAGCATATGTGACCCAGGCATTATTTAAAAAGTCTTTTTAAAGCAACACTGATATTGATTGGAAGCCAAATTGTCTGCTTCAAAGTTCTAATACTGACAATGAATGCATGTACTTAAACAAAAAGTTATCACTTGAAGTAAAACTTTCCAGTATGTACTAATCTTTTTTTAATATTAAAAACAATGTTTTTCCAGATGTCACACGAGAAGTCACAATATACTAAGTAACAAATAAATGCTAAATTTTGTTTACCTTCAGGTTTGATAAGCTTAGAGGCGAGTTGCTCTCCCTCCCTGAGGGACTGCCTTGCATCCAGCTTGGGGGGCTCAGGACTCCCCTGTTCACTCTTACGGCTCTGTGCACTGGAGTTACTGTCAGATCTATTGTGGCCAAGTTCTCTGCCCCGTCCACTGTGCTGACTGAATGCATGTCTCAGGGGAGACAAGTCAAATGGTCTGTAAGGATAAGTATCGTAATGGAACAAATTGCATAGGGTATAGGCACATGTATTCAAACATATTATCTTAGATAAAACTGGATAATTTCAGTCCTGCATCAATTCAAGCCTTTGTCTTTCTCTGATCTTAATCGACTTGTATGAAGAGATTGAGGATTTTATCTTGTTGATTTTTGACATTCCTTACAAAATTACATACCTTTCCATCCGATATTCTCCATTAGAAGTTGGAGTTGAGATAATCTCTATATCAGAGCTGGTGGTTGTGTCCACCTCATCACCAGAGGTGTGCCCACTAGTCACCTCAGAGCCACCTATCTTCACAAGGTCAGACTTTTCACTTCCACTGGAGTGCCCAGACTGAACATCCTCCCCTTGTTGAGTAGCAGCACTCTCAGTCATGGCCTCAGCTATTTCACAGCGCACAAATGAACTTCCACTACTTGATGTTGATGTGAGACTATCTGCCCTCTTGCGCTGTTTGGCCTCAGAGTCACTACTTGTATGTTCAGAATGAGGTGTTGGGGAATCAGACTCATCGGACTTGTGCCCACTAGTATCTGGACCATGTCTTTGCTGGGGTATTTCAACATTTAGTTGTTCATGCATCGGTTTAGACTGCTCAGGAATGTCAGCTATTGTGTCATCACATGGAGAAACATTAATATGATCCTTTGATGTCTCAAGGGAATCACTTCCACCTGTGTCACCTTCTATAGTGATTGTACTAGTATCAGTTTCAGTTTTTGAATCACTTTCATTGTCTTTTTCATCTGATATAGTTTTTGTATCACTGGCTTGGTCACTCATAGCACTTTCAGATGAACTACTTGCTAACTGGGAATTGTCTGGTTCAACAAGGAGACTTTCAACTAAGTCTATACTCGTGTTGTGTACTTCAATATCAGTTTCACTTTTCTTTACTGCAGGGTTTTCATCATCTTGAATCATAATGTCTTGTACATCAATATTTCTTTTTCCTTCTACATCAATATTTCTTTCTCCTATATCTTCATTAGGATCACATACACTGACATTAGTGTTGTATTTTTCTACATCATATTCTAGATTGTCTACATTAGGTTCACATGCTTCTAAATTTTCATCTACATCTACTTCAACATCCTTGTTGCACAATTCATTACTTTCAAGAAGATTTTTATCAAGTTCTTCTTTTGTGATAGTCTTTTCATTGTCATTATCATTAATGTTGCTTGGAAGACTTCCTGAATCATGATGTAAATGTAACTCACCATCTTGATTTTCAATTGCACCCGAATTAAACTTATTATGCACCATGGTTTTTTCAGATGTGCTGCTTATGTGTATAATGTTACTATCACAGGGTTCTTCCTTTATACTATCTTCCTCTGGCGATTCCTCTGTCTTTTGTCCAACCAACTGACTATCTCCCTTACTTTCTTCAGGAACATCTGCAGTAGCTCTATTAACATCAACAGCTGGTTCATTCAGACCTTCCTCATGAGATGATGGACCAGTTGACTCATCAGGGATTTTTGAAGTCACATTGGAGGAACCAGTCTCATTTGAACTGCTGTCAGTTTTTGATAGAATTTTTGTAACTCCTTTTTCTTCTGAAAAATCTGATTTTTGATCATCATTTATAATACTGTCTGGAGAAGTTTCCTGGCACATCTCTTTAACTGTTGCTACTACTGGTACTGCAGCATTGTCCACTTTAGCCTTGCTCAATGCGTCATGGCCTCCATCACTTGCTTTAACCAAAGGTGTTTGGTCAATATCAGGATCATTTCTTGGTGAAACTATTTCGGGTTTCCTTTGAGACAACCTTTCTGTTGATTTTGTTTTGCTTAATTTTTTGCCAAGTTTCAAGGGTCCAGTTTTCTTAGTAGGTGAACTTGATGGAATGGATGGCTCTGTTTTTGAAGGTTCTCCAGCTGAAGATGGCTTCACAATGGTGGATGTCAAACCAACATCTTTATCAATTGAAGAAGTATCTTTTTCAATATGTCCATGTTTTGCTATATTCAATCTAGGTAGATTTTTACTAGCAGTAGCTCTTTCTGAGGAAGAAACTGAAGCTGTCTTTATTGTTGCTTTTGACAACCTTGCATTCTGTGTTTCTTTCTTTTTTGATGTGAATTTTGACCAAGATGAAGCAACGCTGTCAGTTTCTTGATTGCCGCTTGTCTCCACCCCCCATGATCCCCAGAAGTCTCCTTCAGCTTTCTTGTCTTCCTTACTTTGAGATTTGGATTCAACTGGAACACTGGACATAAAGGGATCCCCTTCTGAAAGACATAACAAATAAAATATTTGAGGGGCAACTTTTTACACTTTAGATAACTATCTGAATGATAGTGAACACTTAAATGTAATTACACTGCTTTGTTTACATACATAAAGGATTTAGAAATTAATACCTGTAGATACTCCACTTGTAGCCGACTCCCCTTCATTTTGAATGTCTAATACCTTGTCTATCTTGGATTGCGCCTGCTGCAGTGCCTGATTGGCAAGTTTCTGAATCCCTGATGTGTCCCACCAACTCATCTTAGACCTAGAAAGTACATGAACAAGTATAATACCATGGGTAAAAGGCTCACATGGGGGGCATTTGGCTCACATGGGAAGACATTTTAAATTCTTGAAAGAATTAATTTGCAGTACATGTCATAGCTTCTGTATAAGTAGTGGGAAAAGTAGAAAAAAATAGTTTTCCTTGTTTTTCTTTTTAAAGTGACACATATTGTGCAAATGTAATCATACGTAATGTTGTGTACAATGTAATCATGTGTAATAATAAATGCTACTGCTCCAAACACATGCTTTTTATACTCTATTATATTCATATCGGAAATTTGACAAATACATTTTTACTTCAAGGTGTTTTGTTTTTATCTTTTTGTCTATTTCTATGTACTGTACATATATATGTATATTTATGTTCAGTGTTCCAGTTGTAAGAATAAGATCAAGATTCTTTTGTGAAAAGTTTTTAGATTTGATGTCCCCTCCTGAGAATGGACCTATCGATATACTGGTAAGTAGACACAAGGTGAATATCATATAAATTCATAATTTTTCGTGGCTTAAACAGCCAAGGAAATTGTGAGGAGCCCTCTGGAGTGTAATATTATTACAAACAGATCTACAGTTTGGACCATAAATAAATGAGTCAAGGATTTACTGAAGTGAGGATTCCCCATGGTAAGAGAATTTTCAAGAGGCCATACATCAGTGGATGAAAGTACAAAATGTAAAATATAAAAAAATTTAGGGGATATGTATCTGGACAATATTAAACAAATACTGGATGATCAGGAGCTGGATATGGCAGAATACCTATTCGAGAAAAAATATTGGGCGAGGCGGCAGCCGAGCCAAATATTTTTTCGAGGATAGGTATTCTGGCCATATCCAGCTCCGGATCATCCAGTATTTGTTTTATTATGCACCTCCCAATGAAAGTGGAGTACTTACAGTTTAGTTGACATTATTTTGACATTTATTTATTTTTTCTTTCAAAACTCAGACCGGACTTCCGGCCAGTTTATTCGCTACACTGGACAAAAATATTTGAACCGGGAATTTAATTTTTATTTATTCGAGACGTTCTTGCAGAATTATATGTAACTTTTGAATGATAAGGGTAATTGTGATTGATTAAGTGCATTTTTTCTTCTATTTTCCGCCAGTTTCAGATGTAAGCTTTAAGTAGTACTCCAGTTATTAAGAAATAAAACTCTGAAGTGGGAATGTTGCAAAAACATTGAAAAAAATATCCGACCCTTTTTCTCGAAAGGGTCAGATATTAAAAAAATATCCGGCAGTTTTCAGAAAAGAGCAGAGTATTGCCAAATTACAAGCAACTAAGAACCAATCAGATTTGAGTATTTTAATGAGGTGCATAATAATGTAAAATATGGGCTTTTTACTCATTTATTTATGGTCCAAACAGTAGAGTATATCTTTCTCATTATTTTCAAAAACTAAAGAAAATGCAATGTTTGGTCATTTCCATCCAGTTGGCTTCCATCTGTAATTCATCTTAATAGATGTTTATACAAGAGTCATAGCTTTGATTTGGTTAAAAATATCCGACTTCTGCCAGATTCCTCCTATTGGTCTCAAGGCTCAACAAATATAGCCAGTCCCCACCCGAGATTTTAAAAATAGGCTTGCACCCATCTGAAAATCCATTTGCACTCACATGTTCAGATCTGAAATCTTTGGAAAATTATTATTTCCTTGATTCTGGAGTCAGTTTGTTGATGAATATGACATGTCATACCTCAAATGATACACATAGGTCTAATACTGTTGGCAGCTTTATCATCAATCAATTAAACCATACATTTGTAAGTGTCTGTTGATAAAAGCACAAAATAGCTAAGCAGAAAGATAATGTCCATTTTCGACAATTTCCGTTGTTCATGATGTGTTTTCCGAAGAGTTTTATGTCTATTCTGAGAATGTGACATCACTCCAGGTGATGTCACACCAGAGATTACCAAGAAACACCATGAAGTTTCTTGACTATCCCATAGAAAGTGTACCATTGCTTGTTTAGATGTGATCATTTGCTTTCATTAGCTGTTAGTTGTGATGTGACGTAAACTGACAAATGAAAATCATCCACACATCAAAACTGTAACTCGTAAGGTCTGTTTCAAAATTTATCTATTTTCTAATACCACATTTACAAGTATGTTTACATCAAAATCTCTCAAGTAAAACACTAAACTTTCAAAGTATTACCATTCCATTTCCACGGGCCAAATCATGTGAAAATTGATCACATGAGTTTTCCAATCACAGGTCAAATCAAAGGGAAAACAAATAAAAAATCACGAAATATTGATCACTCAATGCTTGAGAGATTAGTAAATGTCAGTACGAGGGTCTTATATTTGGGTGGTCATTTTTGCCTTTGGATGTACCATTTTTGGTTTCTGTCCAATCTTCTCATTTATTCATTGAGCATACTAACTGTATGCGGATTGGACCTGGGTCCGGATCTGTGTAAAACATATCTGCTTTAATATGGGCTTATTAGCCTTTTGCAGATTATTGACATAGACATATAAAAAATATTTTTTGTTTTTCGACTGGTGACGTCGACTCAATTTTAGAAATTTTTGATAGCGCAAATGTTGATTTCTGATTGACCAGATCATATAACTCTAAAGATTCTTACCTAAATATTTTGCAGAAATGATGTTTGTGATAGTGAATGTTTCAAATCAGCGTAAAGTAATCATAACTTCTATATATAACTGATTTTATACTGTTTTTCGGAAAGAAAATATTCGGCAACCTCCATCTTGAATATGTGACGTCATCTCATATTGGTCTTGTTTCGTATAAAAAACCGTGTTATGCACCTGAGTAAACTGATAGACAAAGTGGTTGTTAAAACTCTTTGCGTAAATATAAATTATAATGTAACGACTCGTCATTATATCTATGGAACTTATCATAGTACGACATATTTTGCAAAAGATATATTATAATGTTACAAAGTACCCGCCCTTCTTATCCGAGCTCCAGTGGCGCAATCGGTTAGCGCGCCGTACTTATAGACAGTGAGCAGGCCTCCAGTGCTACATAGTGCTAGGAAATGCGGAGGTTGTGAGTTCGAGCCTCACCTGGAGCACGGTTAATTTTTTGGTACCGTTTCAATTTTGATTTACTTTGTTTTAACCTTTGAGGGAATTAGAGAGAGAAATATTTATATTTTAATGATAATTCCTGATCAACTTGTGAATTCGAAATACTTACGTTTTAAAATAGAACATTCGACGTCTAGTCTAGTTAATATGACAGTACAGTACAGATTAAATACAGCACAATCGGCTCGCATTTGTTTTATCGGATTGATATCATGTCGGTCTGATCTTGTACAATCAATCAGGTACATGATTCCGTCTCCCAAGTACAATAATATGGTGTAATTGAGATTCCAGCATGACGTGACACAATCAATCAGTGAACGCAGTGTCAATCTAAGCCAGCACAATCAACTGGTGTACATGAGACAGTCTGAACCAGCAATCAACCCACAATCAACTGATTTGCACGAGATATGTTAGTCTCTTCTATCTCCGCAACTGCAGCAACTGTTAATAAACATGTGGTGGATCTGAAGATCAAGAGGAGTGCCCAGTTATGCCAGTTTATTGCTTAAACTGCCCAATATGTGAGGAGAAGCAGAGTTTGGGCCCTAAAAATATTTTGAACCTCAACATTTTGGGCCTATCAAAAGGAGGGGGGGGGGTGCTAGGCCACTTCTAATACTTCTGATATGTTTCAAACCAACAATGTTTCCTAAGATCTATCATATTCAAATATTGAGTAACATATGGAATTAGTAGAAACATGAATGAATGCTTCAAGTTGCTATGCTATTCGTCAAATTATATTCAACACATCGTCTTCTTTGACCCAGGGCTTGGATTTACAATACAAGGGGAACGAGTCAGGAGTCGTGAAATAAGATACGAAACAGAAAACGTAAATTGAAAAATATTTCTGAAAATAAAAATCCCAAAGAGACCGATTCAGTAAATGCCAATATATTTTGAAAATACTATAAATAAAAACATACTACATTAACCCACCTGCCCACCAAATGTGCCGGTGTTTTGGGGAAATATTATACAAATACAGTGAAACCTGTGTACCCGAACACCCTCCAAAAGGAACACTTTTTCGATCCCATTGTTTCCCATTGATTCCCATATTAAAAAATATAAAACTCCAAATTCGAATAGTGAACAGTCATATTCGAAAAATTAACCCGCCTAATCTGCACTTATCACCAAATATCACATATTTCTTACAAAATTGCTCAAATATTTTCCAATCTAACACTTTTGCGTCTGCAACACAACAAAAATGAGTTCAGTTGTTTTATACCCTGAAATATAGTCTAGTCAATCAGATGAAGCTATATTTTAAGAAGCAAGCCACAGTATTGCGAATGATAATCTTTTATCTATCCAGATTAAATATGATAAATTATCATAACAGTTTTACAAAATTATGTTACAAAAAGGAATACATCTTGTAATGCTCATAAAGATGCATCTAATTCAGCTAATAATGTGAAACTTCCTGTGGAGCTGCTCCATGGAGTATATTTTTACAATGCAAAATGACAAGTCGGACATAATGCAGACAAAAAAGTTATGCAACATTATGTGGGTGGGTGGCATTTTGTGTGTCTCACTGTATATACTCTGTATATACTGATACTATGTTGTTAAATGTAAAAAAGTTTTATCTCCAATTTGAATTGAGACATTGAATGTTAAAAAGTTCTATCTCAAGCATGGAATACGAGAAAGAATCATATTGCAGTAATTATTTTCATAAAATGAAGCACATAGAGCCGTATTGTTTTTGAAATCTCCTATTTCTCTTGAAGATAAAGATTTTAAACATTCATTTTTGAAATCAGGTGAATTTAGGGGAAATCTGATCTTACATGAAATTGACCAAGATTAATTGGTAGTTAGAACCTTATAGTATACCCTGTGCACGGAGAACGAATGCAAAGGGTACTTATAGTAGTAAAGGGACGACATTACAAATGGATTCCCGAATCAAATAAATATGTTAACATCGATGGAAAAATAAAAGCTTTGTATTCAATGTAAGCAAAACCCTCATCTCTTTTATAGAGTTCGTGTTTCATTGAGGCTTTGTGGTCGCATTATCAGAGTCTATCTTTATCCAAAGCTTGTGTATTCCAAGGTTTAATACAGACTGTGGATCCAACAATGGGGTATAACGAGGAGTCTGATGCATCACAAATCACCATATGAGGAATCCACTCAACCCACACTCTCAAATCAACTTCTTTCATAACTTCTGAACATTTCATTGAATGGAACTTGATCTTGGAACATAACTCGCAACCAAATAGTGGCCATGCGCTGCATTGGTCTAAACATTTCCGATCATTTCTCCAAAATGACTCTTCTATGGTAGCAATGCTTTGGAAAATAAATTGATACTTTATAAAAAGAGCGTACATGTATGGTGGAAACCCATACAAAACATTTGTATAGTCTCATAATGGCTGGCCATCTAGACAAATGTATCGTCACAGTTTTAAAGCCGTAAAATTTGCTTTTAACGCCGTTTTAATCCCGTCAAAAAAATTTTGTACGCTGTTAAGAATAACTTTGTACGCTACTAAAAACGATTTTGTACGCCGTTAAAAATCATTTTGAACGCCGTCAAAAATCATTTTGAGCGGCGCCAAACTGTTTTACGACGTAAAAACGATTGGATGCCAGCTAAGACGTAATTTACGTGCCACATTCAATTCTTGACGCCGTTCAAAATCGTTTTTAACGCATCTCAAACTCGTTTTGACGCTGTTTAAAATCCCTTTGACGCCGTAAAATCGTTTTTGACGTCGTTCAAAGTAGATTTTACGGCGTTAAATCACGTCAAATTTTACGTCAGTATGACGATGCACTGGTCCAAATGGCCAGCCATCTTTTCATACCTTCTCACGTATTGTATACGCGGAGAATCTACAAGAGCTGACACAATTTTGAACTTGACATGGAATGAGTGGTACATTAATTATTAATTATTCCTCATTGATAAGTAATTATCAATTCCAGGAAACAAAGCTTTTCGGCAGGAATATCAGCTGAAACAGACGAACAAGATTGGTTGATGCCCTGGCCAGACTGGTGGATGACAGGCTTTATAATTACTCGATTCCTCACAGACGCGGGGAGTAAGTCACCTCCAATTTCCACTATTTTACCAGGTATATTAAGAGAGGGGGTGACTTCCGTTTGATTTGAATATTAACAACAAATATGATTTGGGTAGAGACTAGGTCAAAAGAAAGATGGCAGTTAGTGGTATGGAATATAGGTGATACAAATGGAGATTTTTGTACCTAAATTGCCCAATTTAGGGAGAAGCAGATTTTGGACCCTAACTGTTTTTGGACCTTAACCTTTTTGAGCCCCCAGATCCACCAGTGCATTTATCAGATTGCGAATCTGGAAATCGAGAGATAGGCCTAAGAGGCAAAAACATGAACTTTTTGGACTCCATGAACGATTCAGCCCAACTCTTTGGCCCCCGCTTTGGTCGCCTCCAAATAATATTGTTGACGTTGAGTCAGTTTACTTTATTCTTGAAACCTGATTTTTTAAAAAATGTTCATTATACTAGTACCCAAGAAAAAAACGTGGTCCAAAATTTAGAATAATGTCATTCCTCGTACTATTGAGTGTTTACTTCTTGGAATTGAAATATTCATGGCAAACACGTGTTAATTAGCAATATTTAGATTTTTGAAAATAAATTGTGTAAGAAACGTGCATATTCCATAATATACATATCTTAATCGGGCACCCGCCCTTAAGGCCCCTAAGGATTCCGATTTTACAAATAAGATTGCTATTTGGTAATATTTTAACATTCGCCCCATTATGCATGTATATTGGTCCTGAATCTCATTTAGGGAGAGGTTAATATAGTTTTGTCCTTGTAACCCTGAGTTCGGATGATGTCCTGACTCTGATAGGCTTTTATCTTATCTTCGTATGAAGCAATGTGTTTTAAAAAAAATTATAATCCGTGTCCAAGTTGACATTTGAAATTGTAGTCGAATTCAGAAACTACTCGAGAAACTATACGGTGTACAGATTGTGTGCGAACGGTACAAACGACCATTCATATTGAATTTGAAGTAGAGTCGAATTTTTGTAAAGATTTTAGTGTTCTTATTCAAAGTTTCCATTTATAAGCAAAATGCCCGTCAACGAAGTGAGAATGTGGGCAAGACGTGTCTGCGCATAAATTTTCTCTGAAATGTCTGTTTCGACCAATACTTCCCCGGGTGAGTGATCAGCACCCACGGTGATCCACATTGAATGAGAGATAGTGATCACAGGTTTAAAAGTTAATTCATGATAATTCATTAAAATATAGGTATGGTAAACTTGGTCGTCTGAAATAGGTTACAGATTGTGCTAAAATATGACAATATGAAAAAGATCTATGTGCAATAAATATGGCATTAATCACGGCAAATCATAATTTATACATCAAATCATATTATTGTCAATGAGTGTTACAAATTGATTTCCTCCGTGATTGACTGAATGATGGGCGGGGATAATATGAGAACGTTGAAAGGAATAGAAAAGCGTCATTGATATATTCGATTTAACAAAAAGTCCATTTAAAGCTTTCAGATTACCTGATTTAATAACAGCAGAGATTTCATGCTTTTTGACAAATTACAGGTTCCATAGGTCATTATATCTGTTTGCCAAATTAACAAAAATTCAACGAATAGTCAGTAGGTGGAAAGCACTTTATTTTCATCGGTAGGGATCCATTGGAGAAAGGTGATGACGTATAGCTTTAGCTCCGCCTTCCAGATACTTGGTGGTCGGTAAATGAGAAGGCAAAATAGTTCGTAAGTTACAGCTTAGCTTCAGGCATATTGGTTACTAACTTAACACATGTGAAACAACATCGAATAGGACAGCAATTAGTAGGAGCTGTAAACCCCGGCAAGATAACAGAGCAGACTCTCAGAGGCGAGCACAATTAACACGATGTAAAGATAAAGAAAAATAATTTAAAGAACACGAATTTGGGATACTTAAATTAGTAGGATATAAACTATAACTTATTCTGGATTAAAATTGAAGACGCGAATGGACAGATAAGTAAAGTTCTGTATTTGACTCAATCAATACATTTACTCGGTGTTAATGAGGGGTTAATAATTAAAAACGTCTGGTAAAATATATAGGCCTATACAGACACTGCCGATATGGGTCAAAGAAAATGGAACATGCCGTTTTTGACTATAATTCTAACTTACTGTATTTGTGTTATCTCAATTGATGGATTTGAAAGTCCATTTTTGAACGCTTTTTCTTCTCAACAAAGCCCCCCGGACCCATGCTACGACGAAATTGGGGAGCCGCGAAGATGTACGCCAGATTTCGAAAATGCGGCATTTACCAAGGAGGTAGTCGCGTCCAGTACGTGTGGATCCCCTCCAAGTCGTTACTGTAAACTAAAAGCCACCAACGACAAAGGTGGAGATGTTGTACGTAGTTGTTACGTCTGTGATGCCAACCATCCGAAGAGACGCCATCCCCCTTCATATCTCACCGACTTGAACAATCCTAGCAATCTAACGTGCTGGATGTCGGAGCCATTTACTGCATCGCCCGAAAACGTCACCCTAAAATTGTCTCTTGGAAAGAAATATGAGTTGACTTATGTCAGCTTGCAATTTTGTTCAGCACGACCTGACTCTATGGCGATCTACAAAAGCATAGACTATGGAAAAACATGGATTCCGTTCCAGTTCTATTCCAGTAATTGTAAAAAGATGTACCACCGCAACCCCCAGGGGAAGATCACGAAAGCCAACGAGCAAGAAGCTTTGTGTACGGACAGCTACAGTAACATTGACCCCCACAGTCAAGGCAGAGTGGCCTACAGCACTCTTGAAGGACGGCCTTCGGCCAGTGAGTTTGACAACAGCCCCGTGCTCCAGGACTGGGTGACAGCCACTGATGTAATGATTGTCTTCAACCGACTACACACGGATGAGAACTCTGCCGACAAGTCAAAAGAAGTGCTGGATAGTTACTATTACGCACTTTCTGACTTTGCAGTTGGGGGACGATGTAGATGCAATGGTCATGCCTCCAGATGCATCAAGAACGACAGGGACAACCGCCTCGTCTGTGACTGTAAGCACAATACCGCCGGCTACGATTGCGAACGCTGCAAGCCATTCCACTTTGACCGTCCCTGGGCCAGAGCTACTTTAAGAGAGGCTAATGAGTGCATAGGTATGTCCATTTCAATATTCACATTTATGATTAATTAATATTTAAATAAAACAATTAAACATGCATATAAACCAAGGTATGATAATCTCCTAGAACAATACCATGGATATGGTGTTTATGTAGCGGATTATTGAAAAGAAACATACTGCCAAATATTGAATAATTTCCTGATACCGTATGGACAAACGCATTAGCTTCAAGCGCAGCATGCGTTCCACATTTTCAAAGATGAATCCATGGTTTTAATGACGAAAACATCAAAGTGGAATAAGTTCGGAAGTTTACAAGTTTGTAATGAAATGTGCTGAAAGAACCCCTAACTTAATGTATTTTATCTAGTATTTTATACAAACTTTAGATGACCTGAAACTGGTCTTGATAAAGCTCAAGAAAATGAAAATGGTTCCATGGAATACTCAAAAAATGAATTCGCTTGTCGAACTGCTGATGATATGTATGTCAACAAATTTCAATATATCATTTATTTGCCATCTACTTGAGGGCGTTCAATGAAATGCTATACACGTTTTAAAACATGAAAACTTCAGATTTTTTGTTTTTACATATATTTGAAATGAAAAAAAATAGAGGCGATAGGCAATTAGTATAATATTTTGTAGGCAAAGGTTGTTCACGTAACAACGTCAATGAAAGTTCGCGTTCTCAGTTTTTAGAGCGAGGTTTTAGATCGATTCGAAAGATCGATTCGAAAGATCGTGTTTTCGTGTCACCAATCATATCAAATGGGCGCTTGCTTTAACAGGTGGTATTTCTGAGTAAAATAATGCAGTAGCACAAATGTTGGAAAGTGGCTGCGAGAACTGTGAAAACACATTGGTGAAAACATGGTCGATTTCACAACCTAATAAACTTTATAAACCAGCATTCACGATCCCTCTTAATTTGGTTAATTGTGTTTTTATAAAGAATTATCGAAATCCAGGCAATAATTCGAGGAATGATTTGATACATCATCTAAACATCAATTAATAATCGTCTGAATAATTGGCACAGTCACGTTAGGAAACATCGCATGACATTTCTTGACGGAGTTATTGAGAGCCACCAGATTGTCATTATAGTCACTTTGTATAATAATGATGAATATCAAACGCTTCAAAACAATATTGTCGTTTCATTTATTTTAACCTAAGAACGCTCTGAGACGTTATGTTAGAGCATCAGAAGAAAAGGTCGCCCTTATTCTGAACAACATAATTAATTGTTCATAACGTTTAGATCTTATTTGACAAAATTTATATCTTCTTGAAAAGAAACAATTTAACGGTAAATAAAATAAAATAAATCACGTCTATTCAAGAGTCCCGAGAGTAGTAGCAACTCTATACGAGAGGTGCAATTAGACTATTAGATGACTAGATAATGGTTCCTCTATTAAAGGCCATATCATCACTCAAGGCACATACCGTCACACTTCTTACTCCCATAGAGCCGATCTGTCAAATTTATTACAGTTTTACAAATTTCTTCACACTTAGGACGCGATAAAATAGTTCACTTTGAAATGTCGCTGCAGCTGCTGCACTTTGAATTCAGCAAATGGTTTTTGCAGACCTGAAAAAAGACTACACTGTGGAAGACTGTTCACTAGACGTTTGAACGAAGGGTGGTTTGCCTTTCTATGAAAATAGAACTGTATTATTTGTTAAACTCTAAGACATGGAAATAGAGTACATCATCTAAAGTAAATTCCTTTTCAAATCTGAATATTCAAATAATCCCAAATTGATAAAAACTACATGTAAGTAAGTGATTAATTTGGGAGCAAGTATTTTAATTAACAGTTCAAAATATATAGAGGTCAAAGGATAAAAATTGTTTTCTCACGTGTTTACTATAGGGGATTTCAAGAGTTGAATATCATGACTGGGAGATGTATGTCTCGGATGATACATTCAGCCATTCCGGGAATGACGCGAAATCGCGAATGTTAACAGCGAGTGAACGAAATGCATTCGTCAAAAAACCAATAGGAGATCGATTTAGATCCCGCAGAGTTAGCAGGAAATAAATATATCTCCCGTAGTTATCTTCCTTAAAGCCCATTCATGAAGTAAAGCTCGGGTGAATATTAGGCATACTGTCCTATAATTGAATAGATAAACAACGACCAAACTTTGAGACGTTTCATGTTCCACAAAGTTGCCGTAAAAAGTAGAATAAGCGGCAATTTCTCGCTCAACAATAAATGTGTGGTTGAGCTGTTGAAATGTGCTCTAGCTGTTTCTCATCTTTATACATCAACATGTCTGTTTGCTGCTCAATTTCCCCTGAACAAATAAACAATAGAAACAATCACTGGGAGAGATGCCTCATACGTACAGCTGTGGATCTGTCTGTAGCAGAATCTGGTCAGCCAGCGCCTCTACCACCGCACCACCAGTGGACGACGTCATCGTGACCATCTCAACTGTTATTAGTACGAATATCCATTCTGATACTCAGACCATCTCTGCTATGCACAAGAATCTAGAAGGAAACTGAGAGAAGGCTGTGATATCTCACGATGACGAATATCCGTCTCACGGGCATATATAGGAATATCTCCATTCAGTGTCATGGCTGATGGTGGTATACCTGTATAAATGAATTGAAAATATATATCTACGTTAATTGAAACCTCTATTTGTTTAGAGATTTATGAATGAATTAGTTGTAACCTGGGTTGTACCTCTAGATTTGTGTCTAAATTGGTTGTACTTCCTAAATGTTTGATTTGGTTAGAGTGCTTGATCTACTTTATTGAAAATTTATGTCTGTTTCATGTATTTATTTGGCTAGGACCTCTATTATTATTAGGTTGAACATCCTGGAGAGATTTAAATGTAGGAATTGGAAATCATAGAGAGTACTAAATCTAAAAGGTTCTGTATATCTCATTGGATATCAGTGGATAAATAACTTAAAAATTGCTTTTTAGTTCAATTAATTTTTGTGGGTATATTTTGAATATAATAAATTAAGAATATTGTCCAGTCATCTTAGTTCACTTAAATTTTGTTCAAATTAAATTCTTTGCTTATTTCTTCTGAAAGTTTATTTCTGAATCCAAAAAGTATTGATGACTTTTTAAATAGGAAAACATTAACTTTTAAAATCAATTTTAAACATGACCATTTCCCGTTTGGTATTAAATAGGACCTTGTTGTGCAAAAGTATTTCATAATATGATTCCACTCCGGTGAATAGGAGAACATGTGTTATGTATGGATGATTGAACATTTAAACATACTCAGATCAACCAAATTCAATATTGTGGGATAAAAGGCAAATGCTACTACAATGTTCAGATAGCATAAATTCAAGATGGCTAAGTTGTAAATAGTTTTGCCGTCATACTTAGATATTAATCCTTTCTCTATTCTACTTGTCAACACATTCTCACAGTTTCAATAATAATATTACAAACTTCAACACATTAATCTTTATTTTAATAACTTGCCAAGTCTTTATTAATCCCTCAGTTGAAAGTGTCACTCACTTCGGTGTTAATCTCAAATTTCTTAAAACAAGTCTTCTGTAGTTTAATACATGAAAATCTTCAAATCCATTAATATGGAATTTTCTGATTTCCTACTAAGGGATATGTTATTCAACTAGGTGTAGAAATCAAATATTGCAAGAATGACTACGCGGTGGTAATTGTCCTTTGGAATCTTGTTGTTTTTAATATTCTCAAAGCTAGCACCTCCATTCATATATGCTTCTAAACAGAAGTTCTTATTGAAACTTTTCATCCTTTCACTTGAATAGGTATTTGAGGAAAATAAATACTCATGTTACAATGCAAATATCACTTAGATGTAAGGTTTGCATTATACACTTGTGAAATTGGTATTAACAGTATACAATGGAATTCAGAAAGAAGAAATAAATAGAATTCTTCAGCTCATTCAGGGTTTCAGACCACATAGGTTCAACTTCATTCCCATAAACAAGAGTTTCCTGTTCATCAATATTTCAGTTTTCTTTTGATTATGTTTCTAATTGTTAACATTTATGAACAACTGAACCTTGTCTATCTTTATCTTCACTCCATTAATCTCTATTAATATGAAGCCAGTGTTCTCTGATGATACCTTTATCCTTATGATGATCTGTTTTATATGGCAATGTCTCGCACATATGTACTATGGATTAGTACAAATCACAAATAAAGAGCTTATTTTGGAGGAGAGGGGGTAAATATAAACAAGGTATATCAATTTCATTCCAACTTGGCAATACCCCTAAAGTATATTTGGTCTGAAGTTGATAATGTGTGAAGTAGTACTTGCGGTGCCCCAGAAAACAAATATGAACAAATCATGACTGTGGAAGAGAAAATCAATAAATATAAAAAACATCAATGATGTATGTTGAACAAGCACTCTTTAATTTAAATTATTTATTTTGTAAATAATTGTGCTCTTTGGTTGTGCTGCTGAATTATGGCTAAACACAACATATCTTGGATATAAAATGAGATTTATATCACTGCAACATTTGTATCATTTATCAGGTATAAAATGGAAAGATATAATCATTTAGATATTTTGTGGATATATGGTTCTTTAATGCTAAATGTTCACTAAATTAAAAGCTGAATACTGAATGTGCAGATCTAGTTGAAGATGAAGAAAATGGATCAGTTAAATACTAATCAACTAAATAACTGATGAGAGCAGAGTTTGGGGTGATCATCAAGTAATGAGTTGGAGGTTCCCAGGTGTGAGCAGCTGGTATGGTGAAGACACAACTGACCCATCCCCATGGTAACTAAACACAAACACAATACCACCTCTTCCCCATCAGAATGTACACTCATTTCCGTCAAGTGAGACTATCATTTCAAAACAGATTAAAACATATAAAGAATGTAATAATGAAAACAGGTGCAGATGTATTATTTTATAATTATGGTTGAGGTTGAAACTGATGACTTGTGTGTGGTCTATGACAACAGGAACACCTACTACTAGTTCACTGAAATAATTCTA